TGGGAGGGTAGCCTGAAATGACGCAGGTCTCAGACGTATCACTAGGTGAAACCCACCAGCTAGGATATATTGTGTCGCTTTAGTACGCGTTAGAGATACAGCGATAAGATCAGCTTGTCTGAATACTTTGTTCACTCCTCCGATAATTTAGAATTGTATTATATGTCAGGGATTTTTCAAATATATCGCGGCGGGCGTTATTTAAATTGAGTCAAAGAGTGAGTGAGTGAGTTTAGTTTTACGCCGCACTCAGCAATATCCCAGCTATATGGCGGCGGTCTGTAAATAATCGAGTCTGGACCAGACAATCCAGTGACCAACAGCATGAGCATCGATCTGCGCAATTGGGAACCGATGACATGTGTCAACCAAGTCAGCGAAACTGACCACCCGATCCCGCTAGTCGCCTCTTACGACAAGCATAGTCGCCTTTTATGGCAAGCACATGGGTTGCTGAAGACCTATTCTACCCCGGACCTTCACGGGTCTTGAGTCAAAGAGCAGAAAACGAACTTGATAAAATAACCTGTGTGTGGCAACAGTAGTTGTGTGACAGTGCGGCGTAGAGATTTAAGGCTCCACAAACAGCCCTTACCGACTTGCGTCCTAATACCGTGAGTTCGAATCTCACATTGTACCCGGTATAAGTTCCGTGTTTGAGTCTTGTGTAAGGCTTGTGAACGCATATTATAAAAACGCGCCCTTTATGAAGGACTAGGCACCCTTGTTCGAATATATTTTAGTCTAGGTTTCGGGGCCCGTTCATCAAAGCGATCATAGCGCTACGACAGTCGCAAGTCTATGTTAAACTGTGTGGGGGTGCATTTTATTTTCGTAGCGCAATAACGTTAAAGCTTGGGAGATACGATCGACCTAGTGCTATGATCGCTTTGTGCGACGGAGCAGTGACACACTGCCCTTCGACAGTTGGGTTCCGAGGAGACAAAAAGTATTAACGGCTTCAATCCAATTTACTAGGACTCACATTTTGCCAACAAGTCGTCAACTTTAACGATATCGCCGAAAGAAAAGTTGATAAACGGAAACGGATTTACTGAATGTCAATCAAAGTTTCTGAGAATGTTGGGCCATGGAAATGGCAAGTGTCTGTAGGCATATAAACATGCCATTTGCACATGCAGATCGGGATATTGAAAGAAAATAAATGCTATGCAGTAATAATTGCTGAGAACCCAGTGACCTATCGGCATGGCCTCATAACATACAGATACATTCACTAACATACGAGCTCGAGGTCTCGGGTTAGCGAGCATAAAATTGAAATGTGGGTCGATAGAACATGGCGTATTTTTTTCGTTGCGCAATTTTTACTACGTTGACTTACTGGGTCGATTTCCATTCACGTTTGTGAAGTGTTTTTGGATTTACGATTTCTGAAAGCCGTATAGAATCCCAGCATATTTGAAACGCTACCGTAAAACACAACAACGTCACTCTCCACGCGGAGGTCATTACGGAATTTTAGTTTATGGAGAAATGTATTTCCTGAGAGAGACGCTGTTCGTGGGCATCACCAGACTTTACACGAACAAATAGATGTGTCGCCTCGACAAACAGAAATCAGCAAATTTATTAATCACATCATACATAAAATCGATAGCCGTAATTACTGTATCGATATTTGAACACGATAATTAATACGTTGGTGTGACTCCACACTAATCCATATTCCCTGTTGGTAGACAAGGGGTGGTCTTATTCCATTGTCTGAAACAGTTCCACTTCCTCGGGTGTAAATGATGCAATTTTCTACCAGTGTTTTCTCAGACAGGTTCTATCAATCAGGCTATGGATCTATACATGTAAATACAGCGTTGATTGACGTCACAACGGAACGTCAATTCAAGAACCAAAAAACCGTGCTTGTGGTTGTATTTCTGGAACCGATCACATTGAACATCCTCCACCGGTCATGTCAATATAATGTGTGGCCAGGCAACACAACACCAGACGCGAGTCATAAAGAGATCTCCTGTTGTCTGTTTTCCTCTCTGCTGGATAAATATATTTTGCTAGTTGCTCGTGTAATTGAATGTGTGATTTGGGCCTGCTGCGTGATGGATCCGTGTCGAGATTCAACTTTGCCTTTTCAGAATCGGTCATGTTTTAATACGTCTGTCTCAAATGAGTGAAGTGAGACGTTAAAAAGCAGCGGTTTCCATAAACGTTCAAACGTATTCCTGATCAAAGGGAGATAATTAAGTTGTTCCTGATTCCATTTCACGTAAGAAGTTCCATTTTATCGCAAAAATAGCTTAGAGTAACTTAATTTCCATTTCGGATTGCATGTGAATTCTAAGAGGCTTTTCACAACTTAAGCAGGCCTCTTCCAGAATATTATAGAACTAGCATTATATAGTATCACAAATGAAATATATACGAAAAAGCATGTAAATACAGAGAGAAGCAACGAGAAACATTTTACATTTTGCTTATATATGTTGAGGCAGCTGTTACACTGGACAGAGTAAAAGAACTGTCCAGTTTCCTTAGTCGGAAGTTACCTTTAACAATTAATTATTCGGATAACAGGGATTAGCTTGTCTTTCTTAAAATGCTTTCAACATTATAGTTCTCGCCAGGTGATGAAAGGGACATTTTTACTAAGAAGAGATAAAGGTTCGCCTACGGAACACACTCTCTGTTCGATCAATTCGAGATTTAATCGAGAGAAGGGTAGCGTTAATGTGAAAGCAATACATTACACTTCCTTAAACTGCTGGAAGAATAAGAGGAGCAATGTGTGTCTTTAGGTTTTGGTATTAAATGTGCTTATTGAAAGATGGGGTCTACAAGATATGAGGCAAATCATTTCATAATTTTACAGCAAACGCAAAATGACCAAGTGTGATGCTGTTATACATTTCGTGTATTTCTTAACTTGTTCACAGATATTTCATCAACGGTATTTAGTAAATTTTCACACAAGTAGAAAGGTACATGAATGCGGTATGTGAGGAAATGGGTACACTGGACAGATTTACCTGTCTTTGAAGGGCATTTAGAAGTGGAATGCATAAGAAAAGCAAGATCACTAAGGAGCAAGCATACACTCCGATACGTCCTGTTATTCACAATAAATAAGTTGACATCCATAAATCTTGCTTTTCATAATTACAGCAGCATTTGGTGTTTGCAAACAAACGTTAAGAACTTTCTTGCAAGCAGTAACATGCACGTGTATCTTTTCAAATCTGTTTACACGCCCATATCCCCGCACCATATAAGAGAACCGATGGAATCTGAACATGTCAAAGAAAGTGAAAGTGTCAATTAAAACAATCTTCTTTTGGTTACGCATGATTTCCATTCAAGCTCGTCTACTCCTAGATGCCAGATATGAAACACATTTATTCAGATATCCTGTTTATGCTGTATGCCTGGCAGTACACGTCATTTGAACTGTGGGGGATGGAACCACCGACCTTTCGCGCTGTAGGCAGACTCTCCTTCCCCTACTACCAGAGCACTAGTGGGATATTGCTGGGATGTTACCGACAGTGGCTCTATAGCCAGTTTCTCTCATTTGACACGCCAGGTGAGCTGGGTTGGAAGAGGGAATACGGTTTTCATCTATTGATAAATATTCATGTTCTGCGAATTCGAATGCGGAACTCGAAGCGCATCATAGCTCGTTTTCTAACCAATCAGATAGCAGCACACACTAACATTCTTTTAACAATGATTTATACACCAGACACTTCAGTCAGTTACGTTCGGTAACAAACATTATCACATCGTTTTGACAGATATGTCAGATATGGATTTTTTTGTTTAAATCTAATCTAAGTGGCACATTAAAGTAAAGCTATTGATTTACAGAGAGCATAATTACAATGGCTTTAATGTGAAAGCATTCAAAGCATTGACGTTTTAACAAATGCTTGCCATCTCAAATAAAACGTTTAATTCAGTTGTTCTACATGTACACACATGCTTTAATGGTCTAAATGATTCATTTAGTCACTTGCTTACTAACCTACTTCTGATAACTGCTACTTTGAGAGAGATCCCTCGTGCCAGTTTAGGTAAATGTCACGAAATCTCAAGTCAATCATTGCCCTCATAATCCTTGAACTTAGGACCAATCACAATGCATACGACAGACACTATTTGGTATCTACTGTATACACATGCCACATGTTTCAAAATAAGTAATCATAAGTCAGTGAGAAAACCAGTCAAGACCCAGGGCAACAGAGACGTTGTGCTCTTAAACTGACGGTTCTAAAGGCCCATTAAGCATCTGCTTCATTAATAGTTCAAGTAAGAGACAGTGAACTGGGTATCGGAAGGAACTGTTGGATATTCCAAGCTGATCCTTTGTTTGTGTATATATCTAACTTGTTTTAAAGAATGACTAAGCGACTAATTGATAGGTTACACTGGATAAAGGGTGGGACATAGCTCCATTTGAAATCAGTATATAGCTAAATGTTATGAAAGGATAGGTGAGGATCAGGGATGACACCGGGTAAGCATGTTACCGGTAGCACCGCCATTCACACAAATTGCCGAAAAAAGCAAGTACGTCTACCTTTAAAAAGTCTCACATGCCATTGCAGTCAAACCAGATGGTTCAATCCTATATGACACCACTCTGATGGGTTGTGTTTTTATGCCGCTATTAGCAATATTCTAGCAATTTCGCCAATGGGCTCCATACACTGTACCCATGTGGGGAATCGGATCTTTGACATAACGAGCAAACGCTTTAACCACATGGCTTCACATCCGCCCCTTTCCGGACTAGGATCTGAGGTCACCTCCATGGGAAGTTCAGTTGAACAAGCAGCCAACCTTGACCACAAATGAAATAGAAGAGTGCATGTGGTATCCTGCTTTCTAAAATCATTGGCTTCGTATATAGCACTTGTGAGCAAACGTCTTAACCATTTACACCACCGCCCCTGCTATTGATAACACAGCATTACGCATGTATCTTGACATATTTAAAACAGATAAGCAAAGCAAACGGGTCAATGTAATCATATTTATATTTGGTTTATCATTTTCTGCAAACAATTCAACAATGTATAACGGGTACATGTATGTACAAAACATTGGTTCGATGACATTTGGCAGTGGGTGAATTCCCAGAACTGGTTTCATGTATATATGTTCCATTTATAACACACAGACTAAACAGACAGTAATGCAAATGAGTGGTAGGATGAGAGTAATCAGTGTTTTGTGTCAGTATCACTATAAAAGTTGGTTTAAATGGTTTCAAACCTAGACAACAAATGAACATTTTCGGTTGTGTATTCCCATCATATGAAGACCACCTGCCAACCACAGGTATAGACAGTTGCGAACACCTTGGTGTATATCATTTTGCAAACCAGAGAAAAATACAGCTCTGAAGGTCACCTGAATTTATTTATTTATTTATTTGTGTGTGTGTGTGTGTGTGTGTGTGCGTGCGTGCGTGCGTGTTTTGATTGCGTGAGAGAGTGCTTTTGTTTGGGTGTCCGCAGTTGGTACGGATGTGTGTGGGTGAATGTTTGTGAATGTGGATGTGTGTTTTTAATCAGAAAAAAGTATCTCCCCCAACTCTGACCCTCCCAATCTATTGAATATGAAATGTTCAGTCCCTAACCTTGGGGTAAAGTGCAGTAAATTTACTGAAGCTGAAATCACTGGCACAAAATGTTCGTACGATGTCAAAAAATTCATTTATGGACATGAAAAATTCAAATTAATGACATGTATTATTAAATCATATTATTGATGACAATACATGTCAAGTGCCAACTGACATGAATAAATCAATTTTGACATACATCCTAACATGATTCCGAGGCAAATTCACGCATAACCAAAGATAACTAAAGCTTCAATTTGTGATTTCAATAATTCATACAGTGTCAAATAGGAATAATTCAATTACAAGCACCTCAACTTTACATTCCATTACAATAATGCTGATACCAACAAATGCAGGTGAAAACTGAGAGCAGTGTTGATGATTTTGTGCCATTAGTGATTTTATTATATACTACTCAACATTTCATAAGGATACTGTAATATTCTGTACAATTACAAATCTGAGGACAGCAGTTAAGGGAAAGTGAACCTGCTTTCCAACTTGTAATGATGCTATAAATGGGTCGCTAAAGTGGCAATATTAAATACTACTGGTATGACAACTTATTGTAACAATAAGTCACATTCAGTATCTAGTCTGGTCATACAAGATATTCCTGTGAAAAGTTGAGTAGTATATAATGAAAAGTGAACTAGTTTATCCATTTACATTTATTCCACGCTTCTGGATAAACCCTTTCACAAAAGCATGATATACACCACAATACCTCCTCATTATGGCAATTAACAATCACAATATATGGAGGTGTGTCATAGAATGTGTCCCCATGCTAGTGGGAAAGACATGGTTAAAACAAACAATTATTCAACACATATTTTGAGATAAATAGTTGATAAACCTGTTACGCACTTTACTTTTTATACGAGTTTGTTGTAGAATGCAGCACTCTGCAATATTTCAGCGATATGAGAGCAATCAGTATATAATCAAATCTGGACCAGATAATCTAGTGATCAACATTGCAAGCAATTATACACCCTATCAGTATACAATAACCCAAGTTACTCAGCCTGACCATCTAGCAACATGGTCACCTCTAACAACCAGCATTGGAGACCAGTTCATACAAACAACACAAGGTTGCATGTTTGTCAAAATGTCTGAAGAGAGATAAGTTTGAACACAACAAGCAATCTAATGTCTTCCCTGAATAATTTTTTGTAACATCTCAACTCCCAGGTGCTTGCACATCAATGTAGACTGCAATGGAATTTGAGGCTGCAGTTTCTGAGAATTAGGACAAAAACTTTTGCCATCATGATCACTATCTACAAGCAATCTCAATAAAATCAGATCTTTTACATCCATTATACCTCTGTCTCTATCGAATCAGAGAAAAAGATTTGGTTCTAATGTAATTGCATCTACAAGAGATATAGTTGAACACTGACTGTGATGCCTTGGATACAATCAGCACTACTTGAAGTAATTAACATTTACAAAATGTTATAACGTTCAAACCCTCTTGGTTTATATTACAAAAAGTACATCTTTTGTCAATAGGTTTCACTATTTTCAATTATTTTAAAATAAACAATTAACAAATGGATCACATTCATTTGTTCAAGATATAGGTTTCAGCATTGCAGTACCTCATGGGCCCAACTTTCACTTTCATCAGTTCAGCAATTACAAAATTAAAAAAGATTAAGATTTTTCAAATCGTTATGTTTCATAAGTACGGTATGGATCATAGTTCATAAGTACAGTTTGTATGATGTAGAAAAACAGTCCAGATGCAGCTTCAGTGGAAGAATGAGGTATGCTAATGGCTTTATTGTGCCCACTAGAAATGTCTAACATTTCAGGGAAAACTCAGAAAATGTTGGTATAAAAATTACTGGATATGGTCCATCAGCTGGGGAGATTACTTCAATGCAAATCTTGGAATTTTGACATAATCAAGTACATAATGGCTAAAATGAGTGAAATACGATTATTTTCTCATCTATTGGAAATATCTTTGGTTGAATAATGTTTATAGCTATATCTTGTAAGAAATCAGCTTGAATCAAGTTCAAATATCAGAAAAATACTTCCTGAAAATGTCCCTGATAACACTTAAATATGCATATATTGTTGTATTAAAGTCCCTCACATGCAACCGTTGAAATAGACAAAGCCTAATTCTTCTATGTAAGAACACATTATGAGTATCCCTCATTTCTTAAAACATGCCTGCCTGGTGAGCCAAAAATGGGCTTAACATACCACGTCGGATTTTCTCTAATGTAATGTTAACTGCAAGATAGTTACAATTTTGAAAATGACAATTGATTATTGGGTTTAGTACTCTCAAAAGAAGTTAAAGGACAACCTGACTGGAAGGCTGAGTGTTGGAATACCAACCAGGCACAACTACATATATGAAAATATTGTGCGTAGTTTATTTCCATTTGACGAGTACATAAATTAAGAGGAGCAATGTGTGTCTTTAGGTTTTGGTATTAAATGTGCTTATTGAAAGATGAGGTCTACAAGATCTATGAGGCAAATCATTCCATAATTTTACAGCAAACACAAAATGACTAAGTGTGATTAACTGAATGCTGTTATACATTTCGTGTATTTCTTAACTTGTTCAAGGATATTTCATCAATGGTATTTGGTAAATTTTCACACAAGTAGAAAGGTACATGAATGCGGTATGTGAGGAAATGGGTACACTGGACAGATTTACCTGTCTTTGAAGGGCATTTAGAAGTGGAATGCATAAGAAAAGCAAGATCACTAAGGAGCAAGCATACACTCCGAAACGTCGAGTTATTCACAATAAATAAGTTGACATCCATAAATTTTGCTTTTCTCAGATTTACCTGCTTTTCATAATTACAGCAGCATTTGGTGTTTGCAAACCAACGTTAAGAACTTTCTTGCAAGCCATAATATGCACTTGTATCTTTTCAAATGTTTACACCGGAGAACCGATGGAATCTGAACATGTCAAAGAAAGTGAAAGTGTCAATTAAAACAATCTTCTTTTGGTTACGAATGATTTCCATTCAAGCTCGTCTACTCCTAGATGCCAGATATGAAACACATTTATTCAGATATCCTGTTTATGCTGCACGCCTGGCAGTGCACGTCATTTGAACTGTGGGGGACCACCAACCTTCCGCACTATAGGCAGACTCTCCTTCCCCCTACTACCAGAGAACTAGTGGGATATTGCTGGGATGTTACCGAGGGTGGCTCTATAGCCAGTTTCTCTCATTTGACACGCCAGGTGAGCTGGGTTGGAAGAGGGAATACGGTTTTCATCTAGTGATAAATATTGATAAAATATTTCTCACATAAGCAAACAATTTACAGTACTAAACAACTTTCCATGATCGATGCCTTTTACTCATTGTACTCATTGTACAAATTGGCAAAATATTGTCAAATCAATACAAAACTAAACTAATTAATAATCATTATCATGATACTAATATTGAAACAAATACATATAGCAAAGGATTGTTGTGTCGCTCCTGAGTAAAACAAACTGGTTCAACAGTACTGGCTTACAGTAACATACTACTCAAAATTTGATAGGACTACTGAGATATTTCCTACTGTGATGTTGTGATGTGATGTTAACACTACTCCATCAGTTCATTCATTCATCTACGTTTAATCAACCCAAAATGATGCCGCCTGCTTCAGATTCATGGTTAATTTCGATATTATTTGCTTGACAACATATCTAAGCAATCAGTCACAGACCCCTACCTAGATACTCCCAATCCCCATCAAAAGTTGAGCAGTGTGTAATCCCTGATTCTATCATTGCACCGAAATGATCGTAAAACAGAAATGAGATATTTCTATCAGTCGCAGAAGCCGAATAAAGATTCAACACAAGAAACAGTATCTATCTAACAGGCCTATTAACCTCATTTAATATGCAGAAGATAAAACAGAAACAAAATACCAGTGGTATGGCTGATAGGTTTCAAGTAACCATTCTATAAATTGCAAAAGTACAAAAACTTAAATTTGCCCTTTACACAACAAAGACATACTGCAGTGATTTCGTCAATAAGTTCGAAGCATTAAGTTCTCAAATGACAAATGATTTCGCCTACTCTATTCCAAGGTAAGTTCTGCAAGTAAGAGCAACAGAAGCGTATTTAATCTCCATGTGAATGATCATAAATTATAAGGTTCAGTTGTTGAAAGAATGTAAGACATTAAAACTAATTTTTCACAGTCGATGTCCAGCATTAAGAACAAAATCTAAAATATCCTTCCACCCCCTAATTTGATCTTCATGACAGTTCAAATGTGAACTTGGCAGCACGAGTGAGGCTCTCTGCTGTAGCCGTGGCTGCCTGCGCATCATTGATGCATTCACGGCAGACTCCATCACTGATGATGACTGACGCGGAGTCTAATAAGGAAGGCCAAATTGTAACATTGTTTTGTTTAAGGATCTTTTTATGGAAATAGGATTGGATGTGGATTTTTTTCCCTCATTGCATGTGCCACTTTCACATCTCCACATTGGCAGAAACGTAATCAAGTAACTGTTGTTCAAGAAAAATTATTCTAGTCGTGTCGTTTTCGACATTGCTGATTAAAAACAATGGCAATGATGAAAAAAGATTTATCTTCAGATTCTAATTTAACTGGGGTCTGCATACCTTGGGGACACAAGACTGTGGAAAGAAACACAGCCTCAAAGGGAATTATGGCATTGGTCTGCCAGCAAGCCAGACTGTCTGGCAGGGACACTGCTTGAACATCTGGCCACACATGGATGAGAGAAACACAATTAGCTGGATAATTCCCTTGATGTGACATGGTCATGAAGAGGCAGTCTGACCTAGTGTTCTGTGGAGTGCTGATGTACTACTAAACAGTACTGAAGTGTGTCTGGCGGCAGTCACCAACACAGCTCCTTACATAGATACTACACCTGGGGAACATATAGAAATTGTTGTAAGACCCAATGTGCACAGCACACACAGTATACAAACTGTTTATTATCCATATAGTGGAACATCTGTCATGTCATATTTTCAATATGTGAACTAGTGCACATATCACTTTTCCCAAGCAACCATTGTTTCTGTATTTCGTCTGTGACATCATTAAACAATTGAACGTGACGTCATTGAAGAGGACCGTCACACTTGCTTACCGTGTTTTACTGCACAGATGTACATGAATAAAATGGTTAATAAAGAAATTATTATACTCTCAAGTGTGCCATACCACTTATACGAAACTCCTGCAAAATTATGCATTGCCCTCGCTCGCTTTTCAAACTCGTTTCGTATAAATCGTATGACACACTTGCTCGTGTAATAATCTCTATATATTAGTACTGCCCAACCTTTGATAAGGATACTGACACAATTCATATTAATGCAGCTAAGGCTTTCAATATTAAGGGGGGATATGTGCTGAAAATGAGTCAGTTTTAAGGTCATATCAATTAATATTTGCATGACAACATCTGTAAGCAATCAGTGTCATGTGGAATGAGAATAGGGTGTGGCGATGAAGGTCTGAATGGGTGAGGGCATGAAAAGTTGGGTGTGGCGATGAAGGTCTGAATGGGTGTGGGGAAGAAAAGTTGGGTGTGCGAAAAAGGTCTGAATGGGTGTTAAGATGTTGGCAAGGCAGGAGGGGCAGGGCATGATAAGTAGGGAGCGGCCATCAAAGTCTGCATGGGTGTGGGCATGAAAATGCAGCAGGGCGTGAAAGTAGGGTGTTGGCATCACAGTCGCCAAGGGTTCAGATGTGGGTGAGGGATATAAGCATACATGAGGGGCAGGACATGAAATTGAATGTGGGTGCAGTAGTGGGCATGGACAAGTTGTGTGGGCATGAACGAGGTGTAGGCATGAGAGTAGAATGTTGGTGTCATGGTTAGCATTTGGAATTGGAGTGAAAGATCAAAGTGGGCTGAAAGTGTAGGTGTAGGAACGGGTTGTGGTGAGACAGTCATACTAATAACACAGAACAGATGTTGACATTCAGCTTCTATTGCACATGAAGCCTACCTAATGTCTCAGTATGAAGGATAAACTGAAATTAAAGATTCATAATGCTTCTCTGGCCAATGGAAACAGTTTCACATTCTTTGTTGCATTTCTAGAGTAAATTTCCATTGAAATTAGACCTGGTACAGTACATGTAGGCATTCTGTGATAGGCATGCCTGCTTTCAATTATCATGCATCCATCATCAGTTCTTGTTCAGGTATTGTCTGCTGATTACGAACATCATTTGTTAATACTCTGATACTGACAGGCTTGCAAAGAGGCAGAGACAAACAACGACAGCGTAGACCTCAAAACCTATTTCTTATCCATGGTTACACAATATCTGGAAGATCCTCTTCTCCCTAAGTTCAACGTAGACCTCAATACATGTTTCCATGGCAACACAATATTGATAAGACCGTCTTCTCCCTAAGCTCAACGTAGATCTCAATACGTTTCCATGGCAACACAATATTTGGAAGACCATCTTCTCCCTAAGCTCAATGTAGATCTCAATATGTTTCCATAGCAACACAATATTGAGAAGACTGTCATCTCCCTTAGCTCAGCATGCCTATTATGATGATGAACAGCAGTTTCACAGATGAAGAAAGACATTCACAAACAAATTTCACTCTTCAGTGGTCCAGTCAATAATGCAGTACTACTGGTAACCATATTCAGCAGGTTTGGCTTTATAACTATTAGGAACAAGAATGAATATCTACAGTGTGGCTGTGTGTTACATGATATTATTCTCTGATGTGTGACATCATGGCACGGACACAGAAAATACAGTGGACTTGTTAAACTGTGAAAAGTAAATCATCATCAGTTAACTGTGGCTGATCCAGAAGGAACATGATATTGTGGCAGCTGGTCAATTAGCTATGACTTAGATGATTGGATGACACTAAGTTGATCATGCTGAAAGAGACTGACCCTTAAAGTATACAGCATTGTGTTAATATGGCGACGGAATGCCTGCACGGTGTGGAAAACAGTGAATGGAATAATCAGGGGACATAACTCTACAGTACAGGCTGCCTGACTGAAGAACAGGGCCCTCAAAATGAGTATTGTTCTGAGATGATTATGAAAATCTGGACACTACTGTATGGACAGGGTTCATTCTCAACATGTCTCAATTTGTATGTGAGATGACGATGCATAGTCTAGACACTGTGTCCATGTTCAGTCGACTGAGGGAGAGCGTTCCTATGCATCTGTTGTGCTGTGAACTAGCTGTTCTCCAGACTGACTGAAGAGAGCGGCCTCAAGCACTGTTATGGAATGACTACAGCAGGAGTGGCTGTCACGTTGAGGCTGCGTTTCTGGAGGCTACAAGCCTCATGATTGTCACAACACTGAGTCCAGGCAGCTGCTTACAGAGCACTGGGAGGCTGGAAACTCCTGCAACATAAACAAAATATCAAATATAATACATATCAATGACTAGATAACAGCACAGGAAAGATGTCTAGCCATGCCAACAGCATTCAAAGAGAAGGCTACAGCCAGGAACAGGGTCACTGTCACAGTTAAAATCCCAGATACAACTGTAGCTAAAAACCATGATTGAAGTCACCAGTTTAGATATAGATACAAATACAATCATGGTCACAGTCACGTCTAGATTTAACATAACAACCATGGTAACATGATTGCAGAAAAAAACACAGCCAACAGTTCAGCAAAACCCACACGTATATCTACACTTAAAACAGTGAGTGAGTAAGTGGGTTGGGTTTTACACCATTTTAAGCAATACCCAGAAATGGGTTTCACACATTGTACCCATGTGGAGAATCGAGCCCGGGTCTTTAGCGTGACGAGCGAACGCTTTAACCACTAGGCTACCCCACTGCCCCTACACTTAAAACAGCCACTGTCAGAGTCAAAGCCACAGCCATACATGAAAACACAATTACAACAGCAACAACACGTCCAGTAACACCTACAGCTACAGTTAGTCAAAGCCGCAGGTTCATCTACAACATTCATGCTCACAGTCGTCCCTTCTGATACAACATGTACAGTAAAACAACAGCCATGCTCACAGTCGTCCCTTCTGATACAACATGTACAGTAAAAACAACATCCATGCTCACAGTCGTCCCTTCTGATACAACATGTACAGTAAAACAACAGCCATGCTCACAGTCGTCCCTTCTGATACAACATGTACAGTTAAAACAACCATGGTCAGTCACAGTTACAGCTAAAACTCCACTCGTTAAAAAAAACAGAATCTAGTCACGGCCACAGTTAAAGCAACAGGCACACGAACCTTTAGCTAATACTGGAGCAATGTCTTCTGGGTGGGGTATGTCAAACCAGGCCAGAAATCCCGACAGACAGGTGATCTCCTGCCCCTTCATCTCTTCCCCTTTCAGGTAACGCAGGAACAACTCCACATTGTCTGCAGGAAACACATACAGAATAGTATAACATGAAGCACTACATAAATCGTATATCTAAATTCACAATGATAAATGCAGCGTGGAAAAAATTGATATCCTCAAAATGGCCTCGGTGGCCAAAAAGTAAAACATCTGGTCATGAATTCTGTAAGTAGTCCTACAAACAATTACAGACTCAATATCAGGGACCCATTCATGTAAAGATCACTGTCCTAGAAAAGTTTCAGTGAAATTGTCAAAAATACACAATGAAGGCCAGACAGGGTTATCTATGTTAACATGTCCTCAATGAGCTATGATAAGCTGAACCGTCTAGCTAGTAAAACCTGAAACAAGAACATGAGCATCTCAACAATTACCTATATGCCACTTGTCCAGTGTGTCCTCAAGATGTCTCTTCAGGCACAGCAAGAACTCCATCTCCAGGAGGTGTTGTGGCTGGTCCTCTGCAGTGTGGTTGATGCGGTACCTGCTGGTGTAGTAGGCCAGCACCAGCTTCAGCTGCCACACGCCCGTGGTGTGCAGCCCCTTCTGACACTGGCGGATCAGCTGCTCCAGGATGAAGTGGAGGCAGGTGGCTTCCGGCTTCTCCTGGGTCACACACTCGTACACGATGGTCGACAGCTCCTGAACTGTGGACATGTCCTAGAACACCCGACATACACAAAGGTTGAGGTTAACATTGCTTCAGTTATATCACCTTCTTGGGGGAGGGGCCTTAAATAATAATGATAATGATGAGTGTACATTTATTGCGCTTACTGCCATACACAACTCACCATATCTTCTTTGGACTTGAGGAAGAACTCCGCCAATGCAATAATCCTTGGGTCGGATGTGAAAGACTTGATGATGTTTGGCTAGTAACAATACAAATATAACTTACTGATAAAACATAGTATAAACGGATAAAATAAACAACATGCTCTCAACAAGCAATCAACACAATATATCAGTCATGCTTTGACATGTGTACATGTATCATGGGTGAGTTCAGTTTTACACCGCTTTTAGCAATATTCCAGCAATATAATATGACTGGGGATACCAGAAATGGGCTTCACACATTGTACCCATGTGGGGAATCGGACCCGGGCCTTTGACGTGACGAGCAAACGCTTTAACCACAAGGCCCTCTGCCCTCACTAATATGTCAATAGGGCAATAACTTCTAATCAAGCTATTGATTCATTCATGGTGTGCGGCACTGATTCATTAAAAGGCAAATGGTTAACAATGCTGCACTAAACTATTCAATGCATTGATAAACAAAGAAGAATGTTAAAACCTGGCTATTTATTTACTTTGCTATTTGTTTTGACACAAAATGCATGCTGATCACGGTATTCCAAATAGATAATATTTCTAATATTTTATCAGACAATTATCAGAGGTTTGGTTTGTTGTTTAACACTGAACTCTGAACAATATTTCATCTACATGAAGGCTTCCTGATAATAATCAAATCAGGACCAGACAATCCAGAGATTGATAAAATGAATAATCCACATTGTTGGGGAACAATAACATGCAATTAAAGCTTGTCACCAAGCCTGACCCTCCAATCTATCTGGTCACCTGTCACCAGCATAAGCCAGTGGAACATATGTTCTATCTGGAAGGCAAATTGTTGGACTCTGTCATAATGTTGAAATATGCAGTGAAATCTATGTTGTAGGACAGTAAAGACATTTATCAAACACAAATTCACAATACTATTAGATCTAATACTGCAAAGTTCATCCCTAAATGTGAATGTGTACAAACCTTGCTTGAACAGTGACTTGAATGATCAGAAGTGAGAGATTTGGCAAGCATACTTCGATAGCCCTGCAAACACAAAAACAATATGTGGACACAGATGCTTAACATGAAAATGTCATATCACCACTGAATTCTGTGTAATGTAGTTTTACCACAGAAATAGAGAATCTCACCATATGTCGTTTGATATTGATTATACATCAAGACAAAGTTGAATCCAAGGTCTGGTCACAAACTTAACCAAACCTGAAGAGGTTTTCAATTCTTTGAAGAGAGTCAGTCCTTGGGGTACATATATGCATGCATTTTCTGGCGCTGAAAATGTCCTGTGACAGTTGTATCAATGTTTTAATAAAAAATATTGTACAATAAATAAAATCTTTTTATCTATTATACTGGCCCCCACCTCGTGGAGTTACTCCCGCCACGCTACGATGCGAGCTAACCAGGTAAGCACCTAGGCCGCACTAGGCCCGTATCATCATTCCTTCTGCTGAATAAATCAGTGAACAGAATTGCGGGAGTATGGAGGGAGCCTCTAAGGATCGACTCTCTTCAAAGAATTGAAAACCTCTTCAGGTTTGGTTAATTCTTTTCATAGAGATCGGCCCTTGGGGTACATATATGCATAAACACAGCCTCCCAAAGACCGGAGGCCAGGGAGGAGGGAATTCTGTCAAAGTACACACACAAATAGCGATCGTTAAGAATAATGTAACAGACGCCTACAATCACTCACCTGTCACATGTCCCGGTTTGAGCTTCCCGCGAGAGGCATGATGGGAGGGTAACCGACAGGGAGGAAAGGTACTGAGAGTCGACCTCGTGCAGGTTAAGATAAGAGAACGCACAGAGTGCTTAACGTGAAACAACCCCACCCACCTTTTGGTCTTTTAGAGAGCACCGTAGAGGGGAAAAACACTCACTACCAACCATAATCTCCGTGAGAGAATCGAAAAGGAGGTTATACACCCAGCAGCGACATATCAATAAAACACAATTGAAAGCAGCGCCAACTAAACCAGATAACCAAGACTCACTCGGTCAGGGTGGCAGGACACCGTCCACTTGAGAGAACAGAACGGCCAAAGCGCTTGACGATCGTGAATGTGTATCGAGCTGATAGTGCCTGATAAAAGTGCTAGGCCGGCTCCAAATAGCGGCAGAGCAAATCTCTTCAATGGGTAGTGCCGATGCAAAAGCTTTTGACGTGGCTACTGCCCTGACCGAAAGTGAGCATTCAACCCCTCAGTTGATGAGCCCTGAGCGATGATAGGCAGCATGGTGATAATGACCGATACAAGCCAGCGAGACAGGGTCTGTATGTCAAGCCAGGGCGAGAAATCAGCCCGCAGCACCCCAACCCAGCCTTCCCGATCTAGATTCATGATGATGAAATTGCGGTGGGTTAAGTTTGATGTCATCAAGATGGTATTGGTAGTCTTTTGGACAGGTTTCGGGTGGTCCTTGCAACACGATTCCAGGTTCAAATCGGGGATCCCCGTTGACTTGATATAGGCCGATTGAGAGTCGAGACATCCGATGGGTTGGACAGGGTCTGTTTGAGGAGATTTCAAGGGCTGTGGCCGGGCACCCCAGTCCCAGTCATAATCGCAGGAGCAGAACAGATGGGTATCCGCATCGATCCCTTTGTGTTCGCGCTTATAGGCCTTGAGAGTCTTTACTCGACATCCAACTCCGGTGATGAGGGAGAGTATCCCGATGTGTGAAGGTAAGAGTAGGTAAGTTCGAGCCTCGGCTGCCACGGAGTGGCCCTTCGGAGGATCAGTGTGGGAGCTTGCTCGTCACAGGATGGTGGAGCAAGCTCCCGAATGTGGACATGTTCTACTTTGTTACCGGAAAGACCGCCAGCAGAAATATCACCTTCTTGGGGAGGAGAATACTGACAATGATCTGTGTGGAATACAGTCAGCTGCGGTCTGACTTTTGCAGCACAGCATATCTTCTTTTGGACTTGGCCAACCCTACACAGATGATCGGCAGGGCGCTGAGTAGGAAGACGATAGGAGCTGTCACATGAAAGCATGATAGCCCGGAGAGAATACTGACCGCGATCTGTGTGGAACACAGTCGAAGCGGCCGCTCTCAACAAGGTCTGGCGACATGGGTAGTTGCCAGTTTCTACCCTTTAACATCAACTTAATAGATGTTACGAGTTGCCAACCCATGTAGGAGATGGGACTGGGGCCTTTGGCTTATGAAACAACGCTTTAACCCTGAGCCCTCTACCCTCCTATATCCAATAAGACCGCCACCAGAAATACAGCCTTTCATGTTAATAACTGAATGGAAATAGCCCGATAGACATGAGGACGAGGGACCAGACAGCCAATTGAGCACAATTGACAAATCCCTAAGGTGGGTTGGTTCGCCTCGACAGCAAATCAACCCGATCCCGCGCCAGCTTAAAAGCTGCCTGACGAGGGTGCTGCCCCAGAAGAGCACCATCGACAGGGGTGTGAAAAGTGGAAATAGCAGTGGAGTAGCCACGAATGGTCGGAAGCTGCCAGGCCTTCTTCCAAACGAGCTTGTAAAAACTCCAATACTGACTAAATCCGCGAGAAAAGGGATCTACAATCCCTCTATCTGAACACCAGCGCATAGCGGGACCACCTATCCTCATACTGAACGCTTGTTGAATCCCTACCGGCCAGAATTGTGTCTGCAACTGCAGGTAGGCACCACGGCCTGGGGATAAACTCAGCAATGCGCTGTCGCATCTCCCCGCAGAGCCGCCGAGAAGCGGAAAGCCTCCGGCTCCCTCGACCTCCCTAACGCTCCATGGACTCGGGCGCCCGAGCCCGAAGTCAGAGGCTTGGTCTCCTCGCTAAGAGGACCCGAACCCCCGACCCGTGGGCGGCCTAGCACCAGACACAGAGGGAAGGGAAGAGCTGAAGTAGCTCCCCGCTTCAGCACCTGACACACACTCTCAACCCCGGGTCCCAAGACGCTGGAGGAATACCAGGCAGAACTGGTTCCTCCGCTATCATGGCGCTAGGGACCGGAACCCCAGGAATCCTCAACGGACCCTGCGCCAACACTGAGAGGGTACTGGGAGCGAGCCCCTCCCTTCCGGGTAGCCGAGGCGCCCGGACCCAAGCCAGAGGCAACGGATCTACAGACGCCCCGGGCCAAGGGATCGAGCCGGCTTGGCGATCCCACCCCGACTCTCCGCCCCCTGCTCAGAGTGGGCGGAGGGAACTCCTGCCGGAGACCTCCAACCGACTCATGAACAAGGGACTTCACGGAGTCCATGTGCTGCTGAAAAAGCTGTGTGATTACAGACATGGCAAAACCGCTGGGAGCAGTAGAAGGCTCCTGACTGCGCGACTTAGCCTTTTGCCTGTCTTAGGTTTTTGGCTTTAGACGGGGACCTGGGTCAGTTCCCTCCCCTCTCTCGTGATTTCTATAAAAGAGGAAATCGGCAGCCCGCCTCTTCTGGGCTCATATTTCATGTGTCGGGATTATGTCCGACTTTCTCTAGACAAACAAGACACTTGTCATGCCTGTCTGCTCTGGGTATACTTTGTCCGCAGACAGTACAACCGAAAACGCTTTGAAAGCAAACACGCAAGCATGTAGCTAACAGCCGAGCCAGCAGCATAAATATACACGCACAAAACATTGAAAATTACGCGGAATGCAATTTCACGGGAAGAAATACTTGGTTAAAACGCAATATGACAATCACATGGCATGGCACGCTTAAACTTCCCGCCATGGCAAAACAACACGCGGCGTAAACCATGGGAAAGTAAGCGAAAAATATTTAATACAAAGTCACAATTATGAGACAACCCGACCGCAAAGCCTTACTGTTCCGCTCATAGGACAAAATAAAGACCATACATACAGGTGGTGGTGTCCCAGACATTATTCTCGTAAACTTTGTTTTATGGAAGGAGTTCAGCTCTACACGGCACATCCGCTCAATGGAGTGACAGACGAAGGAATGATGATAACGGGCCTAGGTGCTTACCTGGTTGGCTGCGCAAGCACGCCAGAAGGGAGGTAACTCCACGAGGTGGGGGCCGATAATAGATAAAAAGATTTCATTTATTGTACAATATATTTATTAAAACATTGATACAACTGTCACAGGACATTTTCAGCCAGAAAATGCATATATGTACCCCAAGGACGCATCTCTATGAAAAGAATGTGAAATATGGAAAACTGTGGAAAACGAGGATGAGATTGTGTTAGCATTAAAACATCATTCCTTCCACCTTCTTCAGTACAGAAACAAAACCTGTGTCTTGAATGTAATAAGCAAAGCAACTTCAGTAGCAAAGAGACTAGTGATGTCATTTGATTGTGATAACATGTCAACCAATGACATCACAATGGTCTGCAAAGCACTGATGATGTGAAGTTTAACGTATTTCACGCAAGCATGTGTTGTGAAGATGCTTTTGTTCATGACAGTGTAATCTATAACAGAGCTAGCACACTGAGATACCATTCCACAGTTAAAAATGGATACCTCACTCAGACACACTAAAATCAAGACACATAATACTGATGCCAAGGCAGACAGTTCTTGTCTCACTCCTCAATGCTGGCAGAGAATACAAGAAGAAGAATTTTTTAACATCTCTTGATGAGACATGGTCAGGAGATTGAACAACTACCTTCCACTCTTCCTAGAAATAGCACATTTCAACAATCAGCATTAACTAATCACCATTACGGTAATAGATTGTATCCACCCAGAAAATTACAGTATGCAAAATCAGACTAAGATCTCCAGAGACAATATTTAAGACAAAGAGATGAATCATCCACTTCTAACATCAAACTTTTACTAACCTGTGGATCTTCCATGTAGGACAGATGCCCAGCCCTCTGCTTCACACTGAGTGTACCATTCTTCTGAAGCAAAGTCCTGCAACAACACATATCAATGTAAGCCATCTCTATCACAGCACCGCTATGAATACAGTCTTCTGACCAGTGACAAGGCCTGATGACCTGACTCAGACACAGGTTACTGACACAGAGCCCACTAGTCCCATGTATGATCCCCAGGGAGTTGAGATTGATAATATGACGTGCCGTTGAGTGATCGAGGGAAAAACAAAGGTATAATGCGCCCGATAAATCTCCACTATACCCTGGATGCATCTACAGCTCGAGCCGATGATTTTATTACCTCCTTTGCTGGCTCCACATTATCACAAAAGCCAATCAGATAAGCCGCTGTTACAACCGAAGCTTACCAGTGTCAACAAAGATAGCGGTCGCAGGGGCGAAAGTTTGTTCGCAGTGCGACTCAGATTTGGGGGGGAATACATACAGACAAATGACAGGTCTGAAATCTTAAAAAAATATATGCAAGAACTCCTTCTACCTCTTTGAGAGTACCACTGCAACAACATATTATTATGTTGCCAAGTTTAGTCGGTTACATAATTTAAAAAGCGAAAGTGAGTCGGATTGGTACTCTCAACTTCCCAGCGTAGACACCTGATTGGATAAAAAGCCAACCAAGGGAGGTAATAAAATCATCGGCTCGAGCCGTAGATGCAGCCGATCATTTTCTTAACACTGTAATCTAACACTGGATTTCAATCCAGTCCAGTCACACAAAGAATATTCCACTTTAAAGTTCCTTTTATCAGTAACATGCAACACACCTCAACAAAGCAATAACACTAGTTATTACCGTATTAACAATATATGGTACATTTTTAGTCAAAGTGGGCAATTTTCACATCAGCTGCAGACCCATTGCCAAATATTTGGCCGATCAAGAGGTCTTGATAAAGCCCTGGTGTATGCCCCATTGGAAGATTCAGAACTTCTATGCAATGTTTTATCTGTTTAGGTGTCTTGTCACTGATTACATATTTCATCCATAGCATGCCCAGTAAAAAAAACCCCAAGGATAGTCTCTTCTCACAGTTTCCTTTTGACAGTAATACAAGAGCGATGTACAACAACATGAAGTCATACCTGTCCACCTACTTCTTTGTATGAGTTTCTTTTCCTGCTAGATGCTACATGCTGTATATTGCAACACAATGAAACAGTCATAGCCAAGCTGTATTGTTCAATCAAATTGTAAACAATCATTTGGGAAATTAACAAAATGAAATACATTTTCCTGCTAGAAAGAAGTTTACATACATGATAGTGTTCCAGTTTTTGTCCACACGGAATGTAACCGGCCAATATCTGGGCCCCAGCACCTTGATCTGCAACACAGGTTGTTTACATGATGAAGATGCTTACTGAAGGTGATGGTAGTAAAAGAGTTCCACTGATGTATGCCGAACACTATTATGTGTTGTTTTTACAATGTAACTGAGTTAATTAAAACACTACCTTTCCCAGAGAATGGACAAATTTCCAGATTTACTGATCCTGTCCCATTATAAATGTATGTCAACGTTTCCAAAATGAATCATTCAGATTACAGGATGTCCAGACTAGCAAGGTTTCAGTGTACCTCACTCCCTAAAATGCAATCTGCTTGAATAGTTAGCTAAACTTCTCAATAAGGTCATATCAGAGTATTTGGTGGATCACAATACACACCTGAGCTCCTCAATAAGGCCAACTTGAATCACTGCCTCACCTCCTCAATACAATAAGCTGGGATAACCACCTCGCCTGTTCAATAAGGTCAACTTGGATCACTGCCTCACCTCCTCAATACAATAAGCTGGGATAACCACCTCGTATACCACCTCACCTGTTCAATAAAGTCAACTTGGATCACTGCCTCACCTCCTCAATGCGATCCAGCTCTGGAAGGATACAAGGGGCTATTATCCTGTAGCTGACATTCTTGTACGAAGCACAGTCCTTGAACTTGATCTCCAGAGGAACATAACAGATGTGACCAGTGTCCACATCTCGAGGCAGAACAAGTCTTGGCTCAGCTGCCAACACATACAGGTGGCGGAATGCTTGAAGATGATACCTAAAATAACAGAGAACCACATGGAACAGAACTTAAAAGTCTTTCATCAATGTGACATCAGCAACATTGGCTAGGAAATCAACATAGGAGCCAGAAGGCCAGCAAGTGATACCTAGCAGTGCAATTTTCCAGCTCACAGACAGCATCTGCAGATAATCCACTCCCAAAAAGACAATCCAAAGATTGACTTAGTATTAATCCACATAAAAGGGATACAATGACATCCAATGAACAAAGTCACTGGGTTTGACCACACAATGAGTTACCAAGCCTTATAAGACAAGCATAGTATCCTACCCCAATCCCATCCTACAATCCCCACAAGAGTGATGCTGAATGAGGACTGTACAGCAAACACGACACTGATATGAAAACATCAAACCTGTTTGTTGTCAGTATTCAGTATATCATAAGTATTGTGTACTGTGTGTAGTCATAGTGTACCTGTTGTCATTACTGTGAGCTGGGTAGATGGGAAAGAAGGCACACAGCAATGCTCCAATAGCCTCGGGCTTTGTGCTTAAAGTGTACCTGGAGACAAAACAACAGTATCGTTAAATATACTAACAATAAACAGATATGCTTTAAATTAGTTTTTCATCAAGGGATATTTAAGAATTAAAAAGGTACTGTAGGTTTCAAATATGCAAATAGAATAAAAACAGTTTGCTCATTTACAGGTATTTGGCACGGGTAACTGCTCCTAGTTTTGCCATAAAACTTGTGCCATCCGATATTATAAAGTGTTTTTTATAATAAGAAATCAAACACTATTATTGAGAGTAGCCTCATAAACAAGGCCATGGACATGTGGGATCTAACCCCTCTCTTACCTGCCACCACCCAGGAAGAGTAGCCCAGTAAACAAGGCTATGGACATGTGGGATATAACCCCTCTATTACCTGCCACCACCCAGGAAGAGTAGCCCAGTAGACAAGGCTATGGACATGTGGGATCTAACCCATCTGTATTACCTGCCACCACCCAGGAAGAGTAGCCCAGTAAACAAGGCTATGGACAGATTACCTCCCACCACCCCCAGTAGACAAGGCTATGGACATGTGGGATCTAACCCATCTGTATTACCTGCCACCACCCAGGAAGAGTAGCCCAGTAGACATGGCTATAGACATGTGGGATCTAACCCCTCTATTACCTGCCACCACCCAGGAAGAGTAGCCCAGTAGACAAGGCTATAGACATGTGGGATCTAACCCCTCTGTATTACCTGCCACCACCCAGGAAGAGTAGCCCAGTAGACATGGCTATAGACATGTGGGATCTAACCCATGGCTATAGACTGTATTACCTGCCACCACCCAGGAAGAGTAGCCCAGTAGACATGGCTATAGACATGTGGGATCTAACCCGTCTGTATTACCTGCCACCACCCAGGAAGAGTAGCCCAGTAGACAAGGCTATGGACATGTTTGATCTAACCCCTCTGTATTACCTGCCACCACCCAGGAAGAGTAGCCCAGTAGACATGGCTATAGACATGTGGGATCTAACCCGTCTGTATTACCTGCCACCACCCAGGAAGAGTAGCCCAGTAGACAAGGCTATAGACATGTGGGATCTAACCCGTCTGTATTACCTGCCACCACCCAGGAAGAGTAGCCCAGTAGACAAGGCTATGGACATGTTTGATCTAACCCCTCTGCATTACCTGCCACCACCCAGGAAGAGTAGCCCAGTAGACATGGCTATGGACATGTGGGATCTAACCCCTCTGCATTACCTGCCACCACCCAGGAAGAGTAGCCCAGTAGACATGGCTATAGACATGTGGGATCTAACCCGTCTGTATTACCTGCCACCACCCAGGAAGAGTAGCCCAGTAGACAAGGCTATAGACATGTGGGATCTAACCCCTCTGCATTACCTGCCACCACCCAGGAAGAGTAGCCCAGTAGACATGGCTATAGACATGTGGGATCTAACCCCTCTGTATTACCTGCCACCACCCAGGAAGAAGAGCCCAGTAGACAAGGCTATAGACATGGCTATGCCACCACCCAGGAAGAGAGCCCAGTAGTGGGCTATAGACATGTGGGATCTAACCCCTCTGCATTACCTGCCAGTAGACAAGGCTATAGACATGTGGGATCTAAACCCCATTACCTGCCACCACCCAGGCCACCACCCAGGAAGAGTAGCCCAGTAGACAAGGCTATGGACATGTTTGATCTAACCCCTCTGCATTACCTGCCACCACCCAGGAAGAGTAGCCCAGTAGACAAGGCTATGGACATGTTTGATCTAACCCCTCTGCATTACCTGCCACCACCCAGGAAGAGCAGCCCAGTAGACATGGCTATGGACATGTTTGATCTAACCCCTCTGCATTACCTGCCACCACCCAGGAAGAGTAGGCCAGTAGACAAGGCTATAGACATGTGGGATCTAACTCCTCTATTACCTGCCACCACCCAGGAAGAGTAGCCCAGTAGACAAGGCTATGGACATGTTTGATCTAACCCCTCTGCATTACCTGCCACCACCCAGGAAGAGTAGGCCAGTAGACAAGGCTATAGACATGTGGGATCTAACTCCTCTATTACCTGCCACCACCCAGGAAGAGTAGCCCAGTAGACAAGGCTATAGACATGTGGGATCTAACCCCTCTGTATTACCTGCCACCACCCAGGAAAGTAGCCCAGTAGACAAGGCTATCTAACCCTCTGTTTGAGTCTAGACAAGGCTATGGACATGTGGGATCTAACTGCATTACCTGCCACCACCCAGGAAGAGTAGCCCAGTAGACAAGGCTATGGACATGTGGGATCTGTATTACCTAAGCCCAGTAGACAAGGCTGGGCCACCACCCAGGAAGAGTAGCCCAGTAGACAAGGCCTGATCTAACCCCCTGTATTACCTGCCACCACCCAGGAAGAGTAGCCCAGTAGACAAGGCTATGGAAATGTGGGATCTAACCCTTCTCTATAACCTGCCACCACCCAGGAAGAGTAGCCCAGTAGACAAGGCTATGGAAATGTGGGATCTAACCCCTCTATAACCTGCCACCACCCAGGAAGAGTAGCCCAGTAGACATGGCTATAGACATGTGGGATCTAACCCCTCTATTACCTGCCACCACCCAGGAAGAGCAGCCCAGTAGACATGGCTATAGACATGTGGGATCTAACCCCTCTATTACCTGCCACCACCCAGGAAGAGTAGCCCAGTAGACATGGCTATGGACATGTGGGATCCATACATCATGTAAGAGTACTGGGGACCGACTCTCTTCCTCAACATGCGACATATCCTCATCACCTCCAGGTTCCCTGTGCCTGCCATCACCTGCAAACCAGAAGTGGCTATGGACATGTGGGAACCAGTTCCTGCAGATCTACATAAAGATCACAGATATATATCATTCCAATTTCCTGCATGCAAGTCATAATTTGCAACAAACGTAACAGATGAAAGCATGAGTGAGTTGGGCTCAACACCACGTTAAAGAGGATTTCAGTTTATCACGTTCTGTCAGCTAGATATGGGGGAAAGCCAATATGATGCTGGTCTTAGATACAAAGCAAAGTAATAACCTGTGGGTGTGGTGCTGACAAATCTAGAAGCATAATCTGGGCAAATCTAAAATCTGAAATTCACACCCATGATCAAATACTTCTGGCATGTCTAAAGGATGTAATCTGAAAGGAAATTTGTGCTACATTTGACAATTTGGTCACCTTTGACCCAAGTTAGAGGTAAGGCTAAGAACATTTTGTGCCACATGACCCTTTGTGTTCAGGCAATACATTTACACAGTCTTAGAAGCAAACTGGACTCCTCACCATGGACAGTCCAGTGAGTATGACACACAGTCCATTTTCCACAGAGCTCTTGCCTGCCTGTTCACAATAGCTTGGGACAGACAATGCCTGGAGACAACGCTTCATACAGTCCATCTGTGGAGAAACGTCAAATTCGAAGCTCAATGACTATTGGTTACACAAGACACAATATGACTACAGCTGATGTCTAATTAATGTCTAGGGGGTAATGATGATTTTAAGGGGGTGTCACCATTTTGTTCTGGGAACTTGGGGGGGAAAAGCAATTTTGTACATATGTACTGGGAGGGGAAGAGGGGGGTTGGGGGTTTCTGTAATTTATTACATAAAAATATTTTACAATTATGCTTAATAATTATGGGAATAGGGGGTGTCATTGATTTTGTACATGACATAAAGGGGGGGGGCACTTATTTTGTAAATAAATTCAACAGAACGTAAGGGATATGATAAATGTCAACTTGAAAGTGTAAGCTATGTCTACAACAAACACACTTTTAACGAAATGATGGATATATCAAACTGTTTGTTTCATCCCCACCTCTTGACTCATATTTCATAAATTTGGATTAATTAAAGGAAAATATTCTTGAGACCACTTGTTTCATTACTTGTCATGTAATCTGGGATATTTGTGCAAAGCTGTGGAATACCTATCTGGCACTGAACTCAGTACTTACTAGGGTATTGTAAGCAGTCTGGTTGGCCGATCCAGCAAACTTGAGACTGAGCGCCATGCATGCCCCGGCAACTATGTTACAGTAAGCTTGGCTGCAAAAACACATACGCAGAGTAACAGCAGCAGTGGAAGCACCTTGAACCCATCACACTGGAACTAGTTGGACCAGCAGTAGTATCTCGTAGTTTTACTCAGTTCAATACTGCAGTATTGCAGTATTCAAACAAATCAACTCTGAATGCAAAAACATCATCCCCAGGGTACTGGATCCAGACACCAAGTGATGTATGTTTAAGTTTCTGGCTTGTTCATGAGACAAACTACTAGAAATTCCAATTTTGTTATCTGTTCTGTTTTGTACTCTTCTTGCAAAATTTTAACTTGCCCTATACTCCAGTTGTATGACCCAGTTGTTTACCCATGAAAATGGTCAGCCATTCTAAAATTAACAGGTCAGCATCAACAAAGTCGCTTTCATCAACAAAAACAGAGGTTAATTACCTCCTTTGGTAAATTGGCATCACAGCAAGACATGCACAATACCTTGATTTGCAGACACCCACAAAGCTATTAATTGGTAATATAAACAAAACACTATTTTGTGGTAGTTGTAAGCAAGTACCTGTGATGAATACAATTTATAGTTTCTATTCACAAAATTCCAATAACTGTAATAAAAAAGATACTTAGTCATCAAAAATAATTCAGAAAATGATCATTTCAATGCTACACACAGGACTTTATTCTTAAGCTAAAGTCTGCTATGATATGAATACATCAGTGAGCAGTAAACATCGCACAGACATGAGAGGCTGTTTATAGTGCCTATGTTTTTATTATTTGTAAACAGACTATGCTGATCAAGAATGTCTACCTCATTGTTTCAAAGTCAATGAAAATATCCTCTTCTTCCACTGTTTGATTCTTCTTAAAGGCATATTTCTTTACAATCTGAAGTCATAAATGTATCATTCTCTATAACATCAGTGTCTTTATTCACCACAGAATCCCCATTTCTGGTGTCCCCCGCCGTGATGTTGCTGGAATATTGCTAAAAGCGGCGTAAAACCAAACTCAGTCAGTCAGTCACCACAGAATCATCAACAAGTGAATCTTGATCTCTGTAAACATTTTGTTTAATGTAATTTCAGAAGTGATGTTCACAATGTGGCAGTTCCAGCATCACTACAGTGTATGAGTGAGTGAGTTTAGTTTTATGCCGCTTTTAGCAATATACCAGAGATGCCAACCCTGAATCAAAGGAAAGCGGAGTCATGCCTTGCTAAAAGCAATTCCCGAGCCCTGAAGGTGCCAGTTGGGGGTGAGCATGAGAGGGGGTTCGAGCCCCTTTAGACGGTGGGGGTCTTTAGATTTAGCCTGCAAATATGCAATTACTGGGCATACTTAACCAGATAATTCTTAACTCAAACGAACATATTTACTAAAATTCTTTCAAACATTCTAAATTTACAAACATATTTGTATTTTCTAAAAAATCGGAGTTTTTCATAGACAAATCTGAGAGTGGATTTTGTATTTGAACATCAGAGTAACTCCTCCAAAATCGGAGTGGTTGGCATCTCTGATATACTGACGGGGACACCAGAAATGGGCTTCACACATTGTACCCATGTGGGGCATCGAACCCGCATCTTCGGCATGATGAGCCAACGCTTTAACCACAAGTCTACCCCACCATCCCCTACAGTGCATGAGGGCTAAATTGTTGGCTATATGGAGATTGAATCTTTCAAAGTTGAATCTCCAGTGTCTGAAACAAGATTTACTTACTTCAAGGCCCTGTTTTATGGTACTGACAATGCTAAAACTGAGAGACACATGATAGGTGCTTACCTCGTGTCATTCACAAAGGAGTGAGTTAATATAGCTAAACGCCACGTCGTCATTTTTGCAGCTATTAACAGCGTGAAATGTATTTTGTTTTACAGTATGTCCACATATTGCCTTTTGTTATAAGCATAGATTTCTGGGGACCAGTTCTGTCTGTTTATTTGTTTGTTTGTTGTTTAACGGTGCACTCAGCAATATTCCAGCTATATGGTGGCAGTTTGTAAATAATCGTGTCTGGACCAGACAATCTAATGATCAACAGCATGAGCATCGATCTACACAATTGGGATACGCTGACATGTGTTAACTTAGTCAATGAGCCTGACCACATGATCCTGTTAGTCGCCTCTGATGACAAGCATGGGTTGCTGACAGGGTTTTACACAGACTTTAAAACATGGGAGTCATGGTGACTCACAATATTTATTTTTGGGAGTCATTTTCAATATTTGGGAGTCATGAAAAGTTTAATATTTCTTTGTGCTAATCATTCTCAGTATGTAAATGCATGTCACACCACCAAATGAAACTACAGCATTGTTCAATTCAAACAGCCAGGATTATTGTCTCCTCCGAGTTCTTTGGAACAATCTGACAATATTTTTTTTGCTTAATATGAAATCGATTTTATTGAACTGAGTTGTGAGGGTCACCCATAAAACTTGCATCAAGCTTAACTCGTATGATAATATTTTGAGAGTCCTTTACAAAATTGTTGCCTCGAATACGCAGGAATAACGTGTCATGTAAAACCCTGGTTGCTGAAGACGAATTCTAACCCAGATCTTCATGGATAGGACCAGTTCTGACCTGGAATACCCAAACCAACGCATAATTTTGATTCTGTGTGATCCTGAATATTAAGATATTGTTTGGGTCAATATTTTCACAAACCATATTTTGACCACCTTACTGAAACACTACTTTATGACACACCGTAAAACAGTGCCAGTGTACCCATTAGTGTAACTGTACAGCTGAGAGTGTAAGAATTCACTGACCTCAGGTATATGGCTGCCAACCCAGCTAAGGTTAGGCACGATGGAGTCCCACATCACCAAGCCTCGACTGAGTGTCTGTAATATTTATAGAGAATAGTGTTGATAAAGACAAACACACCATCTAAGATACCACAAACACTCTTGACCATGATGCTCTATTTGTCCAATTCCAGATCCAGAATTATATACCATTAGTCTTTACAAATATATTACTGATATACTTAGGCAGAGAAATTACTATTATCAATACTTCAAACTACAATGAAAATAGGACTGCATGGTGTTACCAGTATACTGGAATATTGCAATACGCTTTTCAAATGATACATACTGCAATATTTTTTCCTAGAACTGGTAACATATATGAAGTTTTTATGATTATCTTTATGGTTTAAATTAAAATCTAAACAGGTTTTCATTCACAACAAATGTTAACCTTCGTTATTCTGTAATACTATAAATTGTATAAAAAAGAAAATAGATATGCAACCTAAGTTTGAGATTGCTATTATCAGAACCATAACATACATGTTTAGGGACTTATAATGTAGAAAATAGTATTGACATACACAATTAGTGTCACTCACTATCAAACACTGAAGTTCCCAATATATCGCAATATGTATCGCAACACGGGTACCTGAATTGCGATATATTGCAATACAATTTATTTGCTAATACACAGCCCCACTTGTCATAAATGAATATTTTTCACGTCACTCTAAACCCATAACATTCTGCTTTGCATATATGCATTAATCTGGATACCTGCAAATTATCAACATATATTCCAATACATATCCTACCCTAAGCAACAGGAAGTCAGGTCGCACATGGTCCAGCATAAACTGAGTGTCTGGTGGCTTCAGCCACTCTGCTACTGCACTGTTAAAAACAAAGTAAAACATCAATTTTGTGGGCATGTTTTGAGAATCAGTATCTTTAAATGTTTATCGAGTGAGTGAGTGAGTGAGTGAGTGAGTGAGTGAGTGAGTGAGTGAGTGAGTGAGTGAGTGAGTGAGTGTGAGTGAGAGTGAGTGAGTGAGTGAGTGAGCGTGTGAGTGAGTGAGTGAGTGAGTGAGTGAGTGAGTCGAGAGTGAGTGAGAGTGAGGGAGCTGAGCATGAGTGATTATCAAATGTTTAATAAGAGCATCAGACTGTTCACATATGCTTTCACAACAATACAAACAAAACCATTCACAATAATATTAAAAACAAAATCTACAAACAATAATATTAAAAACAAAATCTACAACCGAAAACGACCATTATTGGAATCAACACATCACCATTCAGAACTGTTCTTCTGAAAATTCAGAATATCTGGCAACAAGGTTCCAAACACATAAGATCAGATCTTTTCAAACATATCTGTCATGTGGATCTCCACATTACCTGTTGCCAGTGTTGAAGAACAGCATCCCCAGTGCTAGTGTCGCCCCTGGCGCCGTCACATTGACATTCACACTATCACCCTCCTGCAACATAAGGGGGGAATCAAACAGCAAAAAGTAGGGTAAACAGGTACAGCTTTCTTCAGAAGCGTGATTATCAGGATCAGGAACAAAACAGCTAGAAAAGATTATGTTTTTGTCACATTTATCATTTTTAGTGAAACACTATGTGAAATAAACACATCTGACCAAGACCTGGCCTAGTCAGAATGACAAGCAGCTTGAACTATGTCTACATACCCATATAAGGTAGCTGGGAGACTTGTACCTATCCTTATAAGGACCAGGCTGAAAGATAGCAATAGTGTTTGTAATGCCTTCAAGAACCACTAAACTATTATATTGATTGTTTACTAAAGGAGTTTGACAATTAGAATTTGAGAATTAACATGCAAGGAACTGTGATATAATAAATATACCTTAAATAATACAGACAATTATAATAACAAGACCTTTTGAATCAGAATATTTCATAAAAACAGAACCAAAAAGTTATAATAATGACATTGATTATCAGTGGAAATACTTCAAAAGAAAGGAAATAACTCAACTCACCAATGGTCTCTTGTGACCGCCTACCATGAAGTGACACAAGATGTCCGCCATGCTGTGGTCTGACAGACCCACTGTCTGCCTCCCTTTCTGAAAACACAGCATTCAAAATTTCTTGTATTGGCCAATGACATGGTTGAAATCTAAACCTTAATCTAAACCTGATTTTTTAAAATTAATCTGAATTTGGCTCCTTGTGAAACTGACTTGTCTATGTTACTTCAGCTAAAGGTCAACATGTCAGGTGACTGACTGAAAATATGTATCTTTAAGGCAAGTGTCCAAAGTGTTGTTTCTACTGACCCCAAACATGAGTAGGCCCAAGGCAAGACCAGCTGCAAGGGCATAGGACTCCCTGTCAGAACAGTTCTCCATCTCGGGGCCTGGGGGGCGACCTGTCACAAGACAATGGAATCCACTGAGACCAAAACAGCTTTAATGTACCATACATTTCACATACGTTTCACATACATGCACATAATGGTCCCCTACAATGTCCCCACCATGTGTAGGTACCCACCGATCTCGGACAGTAGTGTTTCTGCCATATGCAGGTGCCCTGTACCCTGGTAAACAAGGCCGACGCCCAGTATGGCTGCTACCTGGGTGTTGTGGGGAATGTTGAGCTCGGTGGATGTGGGTGGGAGCAGGGCTGGCACATGGATGCTGAGTAGACGAGTGATGGCCATATCCATTGTTCCCTTTCTGACAAACACACACAAAAAAACACTGCATAATAACCATTTGATGTTCTATGAAGGTCTGGTATTTTGGGTTGAGATCAAACACTATTTCAGTCCCTGCCTCAAGAAATATTTTCTTTGAAAGGAACCAAACAATTTTTACCACAAAACACTTTAAGAAACAGTCAGCATGTAAATGATCAGATATTCATAGTCAAATAATATGTCAATTCCAGGATACAACATGTCCCCCAGCAATCTATGCTTGACAAAAGATGCCAAAATGGATCACGTCCAGTGAGTTGGGTGCCCTGTGAACTTATACTCGAATAGTGTGTGACATGTGACAAAACATGTTATATTTTGTCCAGATACGAATATTTATTGGCCAAACATCCAATCAGATCATGGTTACAAAAATTTTGAATAATCTCTCTTTGAAACCCAATCATTCTCTGTAGAAAAGGCTTGCATTAGACAACATATTGTACTGAATTCACTGAAGACACTGGAACACTTACTTGGCTGCTGCTAAACCAAGCAGTAAACCAATAGTCGTCATTTCATGTCCCTGAAAAACAAGATGAGATATACAGTACAACTAATGAGTACTGCTGGTATTCCCTAGAGATATAATGTATACCAGGGTCTGTAAAATGGTTGCGTGAGTGAGTGAGTGAGTTTGGCAGTAAGCAATATTCCAGCTATATGGCGGTGGTCTGTAGATAATTGAGTCTGGACCAGACAATCCAGTGAGCAACAGCATGAGCATCGATCTGAGCAATTGGGAACCGATAACATGTGTCAACCAAGCCAGCGAGCCTGGCCACCCATCCCGTTAGTCGCCTTTTACGACAAGCATGGGTTACTGCAGATCAGTTCTAACACGGACCTTCACAGGTCGCAATATGGTTGAGCACCAGAAGTACCAAAGTAGAATAGAATTGAATACACATTGTCATTTAGCAAGTGGTCAAATGTTACGTATGCTATATTTGGGAATACACTTTCTTAGTAAAGTGGTAGGTGCAACTTTGTGTGCTGGCAATTAGGTGCCTGACTCTGAGGGTATGGGTTTGAATTCCAAATGGGATTCAACCCAACAAAGATAGTAGAATCGGTACTTTACTAAGAAAGTGTAATCCCAAATATAACATATGTTAGAATAGAATTACCCCGTATTATCAAATAGGTTTCTCATTTCAGGAAATAGTTAAAAACAACAGGCATATGTGTAAGGCTGCTAGCCCAGACTGAAGCTGGTTTTATACACATTCCTTGCAGTGAAGCATGGGACTATCATACGTTGGAGTAAAGAAAATGCAACTTCAGTATGTGCACGTCCAGATCGTTTCACATGTCCAGATCGCTTCATACGTGCATCTAAATATTTTGTTGGGCTCCAAAAATAACATTTGAAGTCACACAACTTGAGACCAAGAGTACTGTCAAATGTTCCATTGCAGCCAAACAGTCACCAGTCACATAACTAATAGATGCAAATGGCATTCATTGCAATACGAGTGAGTGAGTGTGAGAGTGAGTGAGCAAGTGAGTGAGTGAATGAGTGAGTGAGCAAGTGAGTGAATTTAGTTTTACGCTGCTTTTAGAAATATTCCAGCTATATCCCATGTGGGGAATTGAACCCGGATCTTCGGCGTGAAGAGTAAACGCTTTAGCGACTAGGCTACCCCGCCACCCCTCAATACATAATACATAGCTCAATGCAATACCAACTTCCAGTCAATACCAAGCCCTCACCTTACTGAGGTAGTCATGAACATTGAGAATGTTGAGTTTGACCAGGTGGTTGTTGAGACCCAGAGCCATCAGGAAGCCAGCGTACTCATTGGACAACTCATTACTCTTGGGTTTGTTATATATAATCCATGTCGATTCAACCTGAAAATCAGTAGGTAACATTTAAACAAGTGATTTCACTGAGCAAGCATGACTTTTACCATGTTGAAAACACCTTAATATTACTGATATAATGGCAACATCTTGCAAACAAGTAACCAAACAGGACTGCTGGATGGTCCTTGTTGTTAACTTCAGTCACAGAGAGAGAAGTATTTGGGTAATGTCATAGCCCCCACGCCCCGTTTGAAATAACTTGTACCCCTACAAAAACAACCACCCATCCACTGACACACTTTCATCCCCAATCCCCACTCCCGCCCTTCCATACCCACACCCACACACCCATACTCACACTCAAACACATACTCACACACCCAAATCCATACTCACATTCAAACAAATACACCCACACTCACACTGACTGACTGAGTTTGGTTTTTACGCCGCTTTTAGCAATATTCCAGCAACATCACGGCGGGGGACACCAGAAATGGGCCTCACACATTGTGCCCATGTGGGGATTTGAACCCAGGTCTTTGGTGTCACGAGCCAACGCTTTAACCATTAGGCTACCCCAACGCCCCCACACTCACACACACCCACACTAACACACATAAACCCACACACCCACAATCCCCCCTTCCCCAACCCAGCACACCTATACCCAATACCTCTTCCACAATTCCCCAACAACATCCATCAACAACAACCTCCCACCCTCTCACAAACCATTAGGTAAACTTAAATCGGAACACACACACTTACTGGTTAAAATTCAAAATATGCATTCCCCCACTGTAGTTGCATAAGAATATTTGACCATCCCCTTTAAATACTCTTAGATTCCTCTCTCGCAGGCATGTTGTCATCACCTGAGATACATTGGCGATCCTGAGCCCCGCAGCGACACCATTGTGAAACTGAGGCCAGGCAGCCATGTTGGCAGGAGTGTCGATGTGTGTGAGATCAACTGTTGTGTTTCTGAAACACAAACATCACATGTATCCATATACTAGCAAAGAAAAAAAAAACAGAGAAGAATTTTTAAAATACGTATTTGCCCTGTCCTCATAAGCATCCCCGATCACATTTTCAACTGATAAAAACATATACTTTTTTAGCACCCTCCTTTTTGAGGTTTATTTACGTTGCATATAAGGGCTGTAACGAATAAACTTTGTGGCAAAAAACGATACGTATCTTGATTACTGGGTAACAAATACGGATCATTATTCACGAATACAATAATTAATGTTGCCATTGTTGTTATTGACCATGTTTTGATGTCATTAAAACCTATTGAACGAGCTTTATATTTTATCTTTGTAGTGTTTTTTTTTACGTGTTCAAGTGAACAAGTGATTTAAATAAGTGCAATTGTTTAAGCACCCAGGGCGCTTAAGACATGGGAGTACAGAACTGTCCAGCACTATCAGAACAGGATAGATAAAGTATATGCTTAAATAACTTAAACATTAGATATCAGAGTTACATTTATGCCCCACAAGAATGGTTAATCATGTTTAACAGGACAGTAGCCCAGGTAAAATGTCCCTGATACAAGATCCTGGAGAGGTGAAGTGTCATGGGGTTTTAGGTCATGATCATAATGTGTAGCTGATGTGGTGGAGACTGCGGCATTGAATTCATTGGCATTTTCTCACGCACTTGCTGAAACCGGATGAGCAGACTTACCTTGGTGGTGCTCTCCCCGTGAGACAGAGTTTGGGGATAGGGAGAGTCTCTGTTGGAAGGGGCTGGTATGTTGACAAAGTGAACATTCCCCTGAAAAAACAACATCCATTAAGTGCCATGGAAACCAAAACTGGGTGTCGTACATCATGCATATACCTGAAGAAATTTAAATAATCTTCCACAGTAAGACCAATCTTACAAGAAATGTGATTCTTGACTAGGTGCCTCTGTCCAACACTGGGTCTATCAAGCATGCTACTGCCCTTTGTGAAACTTATCTTAATATATTTGTATTGGAAAAGAGTTATCAGAGGTTGCCAAATTCAACTCTAATCCTAGCCATTTTATTGAATTTCAATTTGAATGTATTTTCAAGGCAGATACAAACATAAGTCAGGGCAGTCCCTTTTAAGGCTATTTCAAACATGTGTGAACCACTTCTGTGGAAAAGGTCCATCATAAAAAAATCTACTGACTATATAATGTCAGGCAGCAGACAAGTCAAGCGGTATATAAGACACTTCAACTAAAGCTGCTGGGACTGCTTTCCTAAACTGAGTTCTCACTTAACTCCCCTTTGTGAAACAAAGCCGGTATGTTCTCACCTTCCTGTTGGGAGGGACATTGTCCTGATACAGATGGCCAGAAGGTGTCTCTCCTGCTCTTCAATGAAGTCATGGTCACTGAAACATGACATATATATTGGAAGCATTCTCCCTCAATTATTGCTGATTTGGCCTAATTATTGAACATGATAGGGATTACAAGATCACAATTCCACCAAAACATGTATTAGAGACATGTGAAATGACCTGATATCAAGCACAAAATTTGTATCACTTCTTCAGTTTTCCAAAGGAGACGTTGCTTAAAGTGAAATCTAAGGCAATGCTAAATCTTGAACTTTCATTTGTTTGATACAACAAGGGCCCCTCATCTGTCACACTTAGTTTTAAACATGGCAGATGCTTCTACATACTTTCACCATTGCTCAGAGCATGTAAATGCATTGACAAAGCTACTACTGTATTCTAATGTATTTTCCCCAACCCATGTGATCTATTTACATACAAAACCTAAATAAGCTTGTGATACTGGTTACTCGTGATAGTTAATCTTACCAATTTGCAGATAAGGATATATGCCGCAAAACCAACTGCTTGGGCGATGAAGTAGAGAGTGATGAGAGCTGGGCTCAGGTCACATGGGACCGTTTTGGTGGAAAAGGGGAGGCTACTCATGGGTGAGTTATATTACAATCGCTTCAGGGAATTGAAAGGATTCAAGTTTCCACTTAACCGTTGAAAGGAGAAGGGAGCTGAGCCATAAGCATGAGTCAGGATAAGGAAAAATTTACAAATTTGCAGAGCATAACTTGGCGATGTTGAATCTTGCAAGCAGATAGAACATCAAGCTGTCATACACACCTTACTTCTGGCCTCTGTACCAGGGCAATCCTGGCTGGCCTGGCTGACTGCAATAGTCGCCGGACTTCCTGGACCCGCAAGTCTTCACTGAACCGCAGCTTTAGAAGCTACAACACAAACACCATCTCACTGCCACATCACAACTGGGGATTCAGTTAGAAAATACTTGCATGTTGAGTTTTAGGGTCTGACTCAGTAACCTGTGTGTCACTGTATCCAGATATCATGATATCAGTCACGGTGAACTTACTGTAATATTGCTGATTATAGCATTAAACATCAAGCTCATGAAAACAGATCACACACAACTTTTACTCAAGTGTCAACTACATTATTATCGGAACATTGTAACAGGTGATTCTACACAACTCAAAATTTTCTACATGACAAGCAAACTTGTCAACAAAAGGTGTCACAATTTTCTCACAAACGAAGAAACATTATCAACTGTTATGAAGTTCAGGCAGAAATGCGTGCAATAAATTATCAACACATTATCAACTGTATGATGGAGTGGTGCAAAGATGTTGAAGAAGGTGTCTACAACTTACAGTGAATCATTGTAGGTACTATTTAAGTAGAATGATAATAACTTGAAATATGTGTGCGCAGGAAAGCCCTGGACCAACAGGCTCCACCAAACTACAATGACATACCAGAAAGTAGCCACTGTGCCACACATAAACCATTGATATTTCACCTGTCATCCATCCAGTCATAAAGAAAACCTTTCTGGCTTCCTTGAGCAACAGGTCATTTCTACCCCAGCACGCTACAGACTTGACCCTGTTCACTGTTTACCTCCTCATCCATGTGTTCCATCCCATCCTCCTCTTCCTTGCTGCCTTTCGCTGGGGGTGAGGACGGAGTGGCCAGGCTACCCTGAGGGGGACGAGGTTTCTGATTCTGGGCAGACATCAACTGTGCCAGGTCTTGTCGACCAATCATGATGTATGCTGCTTCTGGCCAATCAGATGGAGGATTACATCTACAGTGTAGGATGGCCTCTCGAAATGGAAGGGCAACTCCCACTGGTAGACACTCGAGATCCTTTGGTAACATGCCTGTGGAGAGGACCATGCACATTGATCACAGTATATAGTTAATATACAGAACCTGTTCCCTTCAGTGACTATTAAAGATGGTCTACCTTTATCAAAGAATTCTTCTAACAATCAGAACTACAGTAGCAGAATAGTTGCACAGTGTTCATCTCAGTTATTGATTAAGACGACTGAGCTGTGTACCTGAAGGAAACAGACTATCATCATATCTGAACAGTCTCAGAAAATGCATTAATGTTAGAACTTTTCACAGAACTGTAACTTGTCTTAGTCATACTTACTGAAGGCCATCATATCCTGGGGCCACATACCCAGCTGTATCTGATGGGGGGGGTTTCAGCTGTATTTTCTCAATTATGATATGTGAGTGAGTGAGTTTAGTTTTACGCAACTTTTAGCAATATTCCAGCAATATCACAGCGGGGAAAACCAGAAATGGGCTTAACACATTGTACCCATATGGCGAAATGAACCCAGGTCTTTGGCTTTATGAACGAACACTTTAACCACCAGACTACCCCACCACCCCTGGTACATTATGTGGTATACCAGTAGTGTCTGACTGGGGATAGTTTACTGGTAACTAAGCACATACATTGGTGCTGTCTTTCAATAACAGGTTAGATGGGGTCAGAAGTTGTTTCCCATCATATGAAAGATTATTTCCCTTGTATTTGAACGGACTGGTTTTTTAGTCCATTGTTTTAAAGTTTTATACTTGCCAACTTAGAAACAACATTCTCAGTTCAACATGGGTACTCCACTGATATTTCATGCTGAAAAGTCTTTCTTTGATCCCCAAAATGCAGAGTGTCAGACAAGGTAACAAAACATAAAACCTCAACGATTTACAGGTATGACATGTATAGGGAACGAGCCAGTAATATTTTGGTCTTACCACTAGACCATTGTGGCAATTCCTTATGACAAGAAGTACTAGGATTAAGACAACACTTACCCATCTCAGACATTGTGAGTATGAGGCGCTCTGAGACATCGACATAAGGGTAGGTCTGGAAGCTGCGAGACATGGATAGGTCAGCCGTAGGTGCTCGGTGACCTACAACAATATCAGAGATTCCTCAACATCACACTTTCTTGCAGCAGGTCTGGTCCTTCACATTATACACCGGAAAACTCCATGGATGAATGGGATCATAAAGTAGTATGTTGAGGAAAAGTCCTCGAAAAAACTCCACAAAAAATGAAAAATTCTTTGTAGAAGCTCATGATTATGCACTATTGCCATGTCGTGTCAGTTACCTCATTATGGTGTGTGTTTTGTTTTGTGTGTGGTTTTCTACAACACTCAGGAATATACCAGCTTTACCATCATCAGCTGCCTTTAAATACTTGAATCTGGTTCATGGGGAATGCAGACACATTAGCAACCAAGGCACTGACTCTGACCACCCAATCCATTTGGTTCTCCCCACAACCAGAACAGGAAGCTAGTTTCATGATGTATGCGATAGGATTTTCATAATACCTGCTGGGGCAATTTTCTTGAGACATTTGTCCATGGCCTGTTCAGTCAAGAGATCTTTGTTCAGCAGTATGGCATAAAGCTGGAAAACAACAGGAATGTGCTGATGGTAGTGACATATAATGGATGATTTTACCATTTCAACCACAGAATTGTATTGTTTTATGCTTTCATCAATATCACAATGACATGCTAGCCATACCATTTGTTGATAGCCAGAGCAATGATCTATATGACATGGACAAACCAACATGTCATACAATGTAACCATCCTCTAGTAACCAGCTAGACTGGGGATCTATATGACATGGACAAACCAACATGTCATACAATGTAACCATCCTCTAGTAACCAGCTAGACTGGGGATCTATATGACATGGACAAACCAACATGTCATACAATGTAACCATCCTCTAGTAACCAGCTAGACTGGGGATTCCATGATCACAAGAAAATGCATGTTTTTAACTGTCAGCAAACACAGAATATACTGACTGTGACAACGTTCCTGATGTTGTTGCAGACGGTGGGGATGTAGGGTAGGGGTGTCCAGTCCTGGCCACGCAGGTAGTAGTAGATCCAGTGTTGGACGCTGGGCACCTGTCGGGGGAACACGGATGGGTACTGCATCTTCCGCAGGTCATCTGAAAAAATACATGGTCACATACATTACAACGCAATCATATTCTATCTTGTATAATGTTAATCTCAGTGCAGTGGTTCTCTTTGGGTAGAATATGATTGTCTAATGATGTATTTGCACAGCATGAAAACACACTACCCAGACAATATGGGCAGTTGCATACAAAGCCTTTTCTTATTTTGACAAAATCATTCATTCAGTACTTAGTGAAATGGTCATTATTTGTCAGTCAGAGAACAACTTGGAGAGGAGAGTTACCTTCAGTGATCTGGCTGATGTCATCAGAAGCATCAAACAAACCCGGGAAGTCTCGACAATAGTAGTCTGTATACGCAGAGCACTTCAGATCACTGACAAAACATATGTTTCTTTGATAAATCATAAGGTGAGTAGTTAAAATCAGCATTGTTAACGCACATCAGTTATTTTCAAACTCACACAAATTTGCATGTCCAAATACAGAACATACTAGCTTCTATGTGATCTAATCACTGCTTCAATCGTGCATTTTTCACATGCTCCTAGAACATGAGTGAGTGAGAGTTTAGTTTTATGCCGCTTTTAGCAATATTCCAGTAATAACACGGCAGGGGACACCAGAAATGGGCTTCACACATTGTACCCATTTGGGGAATCGAACCCAGGTCTTCAGAGTGATGAGCGCTTTAACCATTATAGTCTGTTTGGCTCAAAAGCGGACTGATGAATTGCAATCTAACTCGAAAACTAATAAACATAAAATACTCAATGAAACACTGATCATAATCAAAACCTCAGACCAACTCTGTGAGGTTTTTGCAGAATTTATGTCCTAAAAATAAAAAAGTTGTTTAACAAACTATCATTAAAATATCGACACAGTTCACTATTTGTTACGAGTGAGAAGTGCAGAGAAAGGGACAGCCAGCCAATTCATCGGTCCGCTTTTGAGCCAAACGGACTATAGGCTATCCCACCGCCCCTCTTGTATCATGAAGATGTGATGACAATACTGAATAAGAGTCCTGATGACAGTGATGCAGTATTTACATCCCGGGACTATAGGCTATCCCACCGCCCCTCTTGTATCATGAAGATGTGATGACAATACTGAATAAGAGTCCTGATGACAGTGATGCAGTATTTACATATAATATACAAAGGACCTTTTAGCATACAAACCTTGCTATTTGGAACAGTACAGTGGCCAGGTCCTGTAGCTCCTCAGCAAGCAATAAATTCAACTTCATCTCCTGAAAAAAAAAATCACGTAAAGTTTTATGCATACTGAATTTGATTTTGATTTTTAGCTTTGTTAGCAGTTAGCAATATTTCAGTTGTCATTTGTGCATAAACAAGTGTTGGCCAGATAATACAGTGATTGACATCATGAGTTTTGATCTACCCAATTCAGATACCATGACATCCATCAACCATGGGCCTAATCCCGTTTCTCACTTAAGACAAGCATGGGTTGCTGAAGACCAGTTCTAACCAAGATCTTCAAGCATGACCTGATGAAGACCAGATCTAACCCAGATCTTCAGGGGTAATTTGCCCAAGGAAACCTATAGACAAGCATGGGTTGCTGAAGACCAGTTCTAACCAAGATCTTCAAGCATGACCTGATGAAGACCAGATCTAACCCAGATCTTCAGGGGTAATTTGCCCAAGGAAACCTATACGGTTCATAAGCTGTGAATCAGTGTTGCTAACACTTCACCTGAAATGGAACAGAAAACCGACCAGGAGCCATCATTTAATGACAGTTATAAACATGCTGGCATCATAACCTTTAGATGGATAAGGTGAAGTGAAATGGGGCTAACATCGTACTAAGAATATTTCACTCATATGATGATGTGCATGCAGGTGTAAGTGTAGCTGCTTGTACTAGCCCAGACTCAAGCTGGTTTAAAGTGCTAACTCACTGAGATACCATGCCGCAGTTAAGCATGAATACCCCACTCAGACACATTATACTGACTCCGAGCCGACCAGTTCTTGTTTTCCTCATTAATGCACAGCGCCAGGCAGGAAACAACAAGTACAAATATGTAATTTTTAGAGTAAAATTGATATTTTATACTTATCCTGACTCATGCTTATTGCTTGTCTTCTTCTTCTTGCGAACCTAGTGGAACACTTGTATCTCCCAATTGAAGTTCCCTTCAATAAAAAATCACTCATTAGTACCCACCACGAGTTACCTCCCTTCCACAAGCGCGGGAACGAGGGCGCCACCTGAACCCATGTGCCTCACTCTCTCATCATATACTGAGCCCAACATTTGAATTTTCAGGGAAATCCAAAGTGTTATGTGGGGAGGATGGGAGGGCTTACCTCATGAGTCAGGATAAGTATAAAATATCAATTTTACTCTAAAAATTACATACTTTTCCTTATCCTGACTCATGCTTATTGCTTGTAGAATCCGACGGAAAAGGAGGTGGGAATATATAATACTTTGGATTTTAATAATTAGTGATTTGAACTGTGATGATTGTAATAACCCTGTGGGAACTTCATAAAGGCACTGAACTGATGAATTCCTGCTGCTAACTTATCAGCTGCCATATAAAGGTTATTACAATTTACTTATTACGATAAAATTATATATAACATTAATACAATGCTTAAGACTAATAGACTTAAAGGTCACATGCAACGTAAAACACAACTTTGCAGATTCTGATACCTTTCGGTATGGACTTACCGAAACAAAGCGTCAAAAATGCAAATTCAACTTATAAAGTTGAAAAATAACGCGATGAAAAAAAAACGCGCGAAATCGGAGTTCAAACGTTTCCCTAATTTTCCCCAGACTTTTCTGGGGAATACGAAGAGTTTCAACAGCTGGGCTGCGCTCATAGCATGCGCGCAGTGAAATAGGTTCGCATAACTTGAAGCGGGCTGTCTGGTGAATACTCGGTGAAGGCTTTGGTGTGAGCTATTTTCATAATGTTTTGTTGATATCTCACAGGCGAGCTTTTATATGTTATGACAGTAAATAAACTGTTTATATAATTTCATTTGTCTATTTCACCACACATTCTTCTTACCGAGTCACTTTCTCAGTTCGATACTTAAAAGCAATGTCATTATTTAGCGTTGACAGAATTTCTAACTGTGATATAGATATGTCGCTGTCACAGACAAAACTCAATGTCTTGTTTTATTGACACCTGTGTGTCTGCCTGCCTGTCTGCTAATGACAATATTCAATACACAACTGCGATCACTGACCACATGCAATTTGAACTTAACACCAATCAGGCTATACACCATAAACAAACGCATTGATTTATGGCCCGAGTTGGTCTCTGTCATATTATGTAATTACACAGACAGGCAGGTGTGATACTTGAACACATGACATGTTATGATGTCTGTTGATTGCAAAATGTTATACACAAAAAATGAGCATGTATTTACAAAACCCAACATGAGCGTGAAGGCGGCATCTGCTAATGAACCAGCCGTTACACTTGAGTGCACACCCACCCGCTCTGACTGGGTTCGGTATCCCGGCTGCTTCGTTTCGAGGGAGGTAAACCCAAGTACAAAATATTGCACTTTTGATTTGCGATTATACGCTTATAATTTTGTTTATTTGTTTTTTCATAATCAGCAATGCATATTATATGTCATGAAGAAGTGATAATTGTGTTTTAATTATGTTTGATTTTTTGGACCTTTAAGCTTGTTAATATGATAGCATAAACTCCTTAGAGTTTGTTAGCTAAAATACTTTTATGATATAAACATAGTACTGAGCTTAAGATATGATTAAACTTAAGCTAAATATATAATAGCAAAAACTCCTTAGAGTTTATTAGCTAATACACTTTTATGATATAAACATAGTACTGAGCTTAAGATATGATAAAACTTAAGCTATATATATAATAGCAAAACTCCGTAGAGTTTGTTAGCTAATACATTTTATAATGTAACCATAATGCTTAAGATATGATGAAACTTAAGCTAAATATATAATAGCAAAAAACTCTTTAGAGTTTGTTAGCTAATATACTTATATGATATAAACATAGTACTGAGCTTAAGATATGAATAAACTTAAGCTACATATATAATAGCAAAAACTCTGTAGAGTTTGTTAGCTAATACATGTTATAATGTAACCATAATGCTTAAGATATGATGAAACTTAAGCTAAATATATAATAGCAAAAACTCTTTAGAGTTTGTTAGCTAATATACTTATATGATATAAACATAGTACTGAGCTTAAGATATGAATAAACTTAAGCTACATATATAATAGCAAAAACTCTGTAGAGTTTGTTAGCTCATATATTTTTATGATATGAGTATAGTACTGTGCTTAAGATATAATGAACTTAAGCTACATATATAATAGCAAAAACTCTGTAGAGTTTGTTAGCTAATACATTTATAATGTAACCATAGTACTGAGCTTAAGATATGATTAACTTAAGCTAAATATATAATAACAAACTCCGTAGAGTTGTTAGCTTATATATTGTATGATATAATAACCATAGTACTGAGCTTAAGATAATAAAAGAACTTAAGCAAAATATATATAGCATGTAGCTATTTAGTACTGTATAAGATAAGTAGAAATCTGTAAGATTGACTTATCTTCTCCGAGGAACTGTCAACTGTTGTGCGAGGACCATGGGACCGAATTGGTGGATACCTGAGACGTCCTCGGTGGTGATATCTCTCAGATTGGTTGGCAAACACCATATCGGATCTCCAGAAATAACCCTCCATTATGGTATTACAATCGCACTTGTCGTGAAGAGCAAGTGTAGATGTTAGCGCTCTAATATCATGAGGATTAGAAGCTCTTGGAGGGTCGAGTCCTGCAGTCTTGTAGGCACGTGGTATGACAGTTCTGATCCAAAAGGAGATAGTAGTACGAAAGACTTCAGTCTGCGTAGCTTGTTGATAGAGGAAATAAATCTCTTGAATTTTTCCCTCCTGTTTGGCTCGATGGAGATATATTTTCAGTGCTCTTACTGGCCATCGTGATAGATTCATTGTATCATGGGGTCCAAGTATATCATCAAAGTGTGTTCATAAACCTCACTTGTGAGGTGTTGGAGCACTATATTCAGATCCCAAGTTGGAGCGTGAAACTTCCGTTTTAATCCTCCAATCGGAAAGCTCGTAGCAAGGTGAGTAACTGGGTTTAGGTTAACTTGACGCCCGTTCTCAGTAATGACAGAGCTATTGCTGCAAGATAGGTGGACAAGTTGAGCCTATTAAAATCTTAGTCTGACGTAGATAACATAAGTAGTCAGCCACTTGAGGATGAGTAGCATATCTAGCTGTAAATCCTTACTTTGCAGCATAATTGACAAAACTGTGCCATTTGTCATCGTATAAGTTGCAAGTTGAGTTACGCAGGGCAAGCTAGACTGCTTTGCCGCTCTGGCTGAATAACCTGATATTCAGACACGCCTTGATACAATCCATACGTGAAGTTGGAATTGACTGTTGGATCTTGATCCATGGTCTCCGGTACAATTATACGATTCTGCGCCGTTACAAATCAAAAACCTAGAAATAGTAGATCTTGCGACGGTTCTAGGTCCAACTTAAGTAGGTTTACTAACCATCTAGTTGTGTTAGTAGCTTTATTTATTCAACTGTAGTCTGAGACGCTGTGGATTTGGATCCACTTGTATCCCGTCGTCTAGGTAAATTCGCTGCGAAGTCCTTAACGATGTAGGTGCACAACCAGGTGTGACTGCCATCGTTGAACTTTATGTAAAAAATCGCCTGACTGCCGTGCCCTCGTCCTTACTTGACAGGGGAGGTCTCTAACCTCAAGAAGGCAGCCCAATCATGAAGGTTCAGATTAGCTGCACTGTAAGGAGGCTTGCTCGTTCACTGATATATTGCTGTCACTTGCAACCTAAGTCTTGAAGGTGAACTATGATCGACCTCTGCGTAGGGGCGTTGTCCATCGCGGTCCAATCAGAACAAGGCATTTTGATTCTGTAGAGTACCCGCGCTGTGATGTCACCGGTGTAGCAGGAAAAGGAACCTTGTATAATATAGTGCCGTCGTTGATATTAGAACAATCGTCGGTCTTCACCGTAGCTTCCCAAAGTTACCCGAGTGACCACGTGTTTCGAGGGTTAATGGTAAACGCGCGAAACCTCCGGCGCGAAATACCTCGCTCTGTAATATTAATGCTGGGTAGGTTATTTTCCTGGTTGTCGTGAAAGTAACTTCAGTCTTGAAGATAATTCCGACTTCCTTATATAAAGGTTCAATAAAACTTGCAAGTTGACAGCTTGTAGACTGTATACATGAATGTATCGTCATAATTGTAGAATTAAAGCTGAACTTGTTGTACATATTTCTTCTCAGAAATCGTTGACGATTATGAGTTATACTCGCTGTAACAAGGCTGCTGTTCAATTTCGATATTGAATTGTCTGCAGATCTGCATAATGGTCACGCATGTAGATAATCTTATCGGAGTCCGGGATTGCATACCTAGCAATCTATACGGAAAAGTTGATTCCTGTGAAGATCTACGAAACGTCGTTGACTAAATAATACAACAACGTTCTGTGTTGTAAATAGCCTGTGCAATTGCTTCGCGTAGGCTTGTAGACGGCATATGGCATACAGTTGATAGACAACTCATGCGATGTCTTGAACGGACTGACGAGTGGCTATATATGACGAGTAGCTAGTATATGGAGACCTTGGAGGAGATTTCCTCAGCGAACGCCGGTGACTTCGCGAAGCTCTCGAAGTATCCCTTCTAGATCTTCTGGGTGAAGTAGACTTGGAGCCACTTAGCCTTCGCGACCTTCGCGAAGGTATCGAGTCAGAGCCCGATCAATATATATGAGTGCTCGCTTCACGAACGACCTCTGTGTTCTACAGGGTGTGGGCTCGGCGAAGCGCTACTCCTCCGCTATGTCCTCGCAACTGGTGAGGCTCTAGCTCCTTCGCGGAGGCGGCCTGGGACTTCCTTAGCGAAGTGTTCGCTACGGGCTGGGTTGCCCTTCGGCGGAGGCTTTTCCCTGGATGACCTTCTGGGCCGAAGATGACTTGGAGCCTGTTACTGGTGCCCTTCGTGAAGACCTTCGCGCAGCTTCATCTGCGTCCGGTCCTAGGGAGTGATGACTTGACCTTCGCGAAGGCTTTCGTGAAGTCTGGGGGTCCGAGTCAGAGTCCAGGGATGAGGTGATCTTCCTTCTCGAGCCTTTATGTGAGTGTTGATCATCAGAGTCCGAGGTAGGTGATGATCTAGAAGCCCTTCGCGAAGGCTGTACATCTGGGTCCTTCGTCGAGGTGGTCTGTGACTTCCTTCGCGGAGGTGGCTTAGTCGTGGCCGCTACGTTGACGGGGGGTCCCTCTGGGATGTCGTCTACGTTGGAGCCTTAGGCTCTGGGCTGGTTGTCTACCAGTCTGCAACGGTCCTCCATCATCTTCATGATTTGCCGCATCAGGTCGTCTGGGACAGTCTGTGAAGATGTAGTCGGTGCCCTCTCTGCGATGTTAGCGACGGGGCCCTCAGGAAGATCGTCCTACATCAGTGTAGACACATCAGGCTGCATGGCGATCTGTGCTGACGTCACTGTTGCCGACACCGGTCGTCTCTTGTGGCGTAGATCGGGTATGATAATCGGCTGATCATCATACAGGCCCAGTTCAGCGGTGGGAACAATCTCAGCTGAGAACGTTCTTGAAGACTTCGTAGATTTTCCCTTGGAGGTAGACGCTGCCCTGGGGGTACGGAGTCTGCGTTGAGTAGATGTCGAGGCCCTCTTAGACTTTGGCTGCGATGACGGGATGTCTGGGGAAGCAGGACGCTTCTTGGAGACGGCGGACTGCATCCCACGCCCTCTTCCGAGGGAAACTCTAGCGGAACACCAGACGGGAGGGGGTCGTCCGACAGCAGCTGACTGGCTAGGGGGTCCGATGTATCAGCCATGGCTAAACCTTGTTTGCGTGACCTATCTGCTGCACGTCTCAAGACGCAAAGATGATATTTATTAAATGCAGAATTAGATAGATTAATACCGTAACTGCAACGTGAAGAAAACGCACAAGGCGTAGTACAGCTAGGGCATATTAAATGCGGGGTCAGCATAATCTACAAATAGTACAGATTGTCATCAGCGTAAACTAGCTGAACAATCACGGAATCCCGTGAATAAACAGTAGAAATACGAATAATTATCAATACATATTGATGAAGGATACTAGCTACATCTCTATAGTAAACTATAAGAGGTAACTAACTAAGAATAACCAAAGGATATAGTGTGTAGGGAGACACAGGCGCTCTCACATCCTGCTCACTGGGCGAAGGAGGAGAGAGTGAGGCACATGGGTTCAGGTGGCGCCCTCGTTCCCACGCTTGTGGAAGGGAGGTAACTCGTGGTGGGTACTAATGAGTGATTTTTTATTGAAGGAAACTTCAATTGGGAGATACAAGTGTTCCACTAGGTTCGCAAGAAGAAGAAGACAAGCAATAAGCATGAGTCAGGATAAGGAAAAATATTTTTACGTCCTTTGGTATGACTTGGCCGGGAATCGGACCCACAACCTTCCGCTCTCCGGGCGGACGTTCTAATCACTAGCCACAGAGACCGTTTCAGATAAATAACGTCATAGTAACAGGAAATATGTATTCAAGTGTTTCTGGCTTTATTAATGACTAATGATCATTGTAATTAACACATTAATAAATGTTTGCATACCATAAGCTTCACATTCCTTGCATACCCCTCAACTTCAGTATCAACAACACACTGACCTCATAGACAAGGTGCAGGGCTAGCATGACAGCAGGGCTGTGAACAAACAGGAGACTGTTGGCGTTGATGGAGCAGGGTTTGGAGTAGGCCACTCGATCTGGGATTGCTGTGCAGGGAGACAACTCTAGCGCATCCTCAACATTCTCTGACACAAAGTGGTGGTGATCCGAGTTGACAAGATGATCCCAGTCCTACAAGTAATCATCAGCATCTTAAGAAACAGTACCACCTGTTATAAAGTCCAGATTATACTTGTCTATAGATTGGTAAGCAAACAAGTGTTTGCCATTGATATGGCAATGTCCCCCGCCGCTAAAGAATGGAATATTTATAAACATTTACTACTTTTTAATTTTTGGTCACATACAAGATGCTTGAAATGACTGATGTCTGCATAATCACCCAATGTAGGCTGTCGACATAATTGAAGACATTGGGTGAAATGTTTTATGAGATAAAGTGATCAAAGTGTCGTGGTGACCTTGAAAATCAGGTCAAGGTCACCAAAATTGCCATGGTGTCTGGGTAATCCCCCAATGTAGGCTGTCACCAAATTTGAAAACATTGGGTACAACAGTTCATGAGATATCACGTTAACAAGAATCGGGACGTACAGACGCACGGACGCTGAATACATAGTCCCCCGTTCCGCGTTGCAGGAAAAACAAAAGAAAAGCCAGGCCAGGTTTCTGGTATGATATGGGAAAAATGGCATCATTACTTCAAGAGTTATACAACTGTTGTGACAATTGTGTGGGATGTGTATGGAGCTGGTTGCTATGTCATTAGCTGCACAGTTTGGTCAATACCCTGGTGTATCTGAGGGGCTGTGAATGGTAATCAGGGATTTGGGTTTTCTGAGTGTCTGAACAGTGGACACTGCTGTTACAGTGTTGTCATGGTCTTTGCTAACTGTAAATTTCCAGTCAATACAATACCAAAACATTAAGGAACTGAAGTCTCCATAGAATCTTCACTAAGATACAACTTTTGGAGTCTCTGTGTCACATGGGTGACTTACATCCTCAGATCCTTGCTCTGATGGCCTTGCTCTCTTTGCAGACATGACTGGGGACATAGAAGTGTCAAGGTCACGCTGAAATAAAAGGAAACACATCAAACATCACATCAACAGATCATCAAACATAGTCAAATATGCTTAAGAGTATGAGTCACTTTAACCCCACATTTAATAGTATTATATTTACACTACATCCTGTCATTCTGGTGAAACCAATACACAAAGGTATGGTGTTGACAAACCTATCAACATGAGCACTGGGAATCAAACCAACAATCACAGGTTCTGCCATGCCCAATGGACACAACTCTGCACAGCAGACAGCAGACAGAGCAAATGAGTGAGTGAGTGAGTGAGCATGGTTTTACGCCGCTTTTAGCAATATGCCAGCAATATCACGGCAGGGAACACAAGATATCGGCTTCACAAATTGTGCCCATGTGGGGATTCGAACCAGGGTCTTCGGCATGACGAGCGGACACTTTAAACACCAGGCTACCCAAGCGCCCCTCTGAGCAAATGACACATACAACACAACAGAGCCTGTAGAATGTACAATTGAATACTCTATTATTGTAGGAATAGTTTTCATAACAATATAATATTTTGCTGAAATTATGTTAGAATTACAATCAATTTGAATACTACATCTTTTTTTTCATACATGAAATTCTGCATAAAATGAATAATAAAAAGACTACTTTCATATGGGGAGTGGTAGTTTTTTCAATCGATGAGGTGATCAACAGGAGTAGGTTACATACCTTGCTGGTCAGAGCAAGTCTGCTGATGTCATAACCCATCATGGTCAGCAGACACTTGGTGAACAGCATCCACTCCGACTGGTTGCCAGGGCTACCAGGGGTATTGTGGGATGTATACCACTTCCCTAACACCTGCAGAGCAGTATCCCTTGGCAACAGGTGCTTTAGAGCTTGCAAACACATCCCAACTAGAGAACAGATAGTACAGTTGACCTTCTCGTTTTAATCCTTTTTTTGATTGAGCAGTACGAAACTTAACCAAACCTGCAGAGGTTTTCAATTCTTTGAAGAGAGTCGTCCTTGGGGTACATATTATGCATTTTCCGGCTGAAAAATGTCCTGTGACAGTTGTATCAATGTTTTTTGAATAAAAAGATTGAACAATAAATAAACTCTTTTATTTATTATACGGCCCCTACCTCACGGAGTTACCTCCCTTAGCGCATGCGCACCAACTGGGTAGGCTCCTAGACCCGTGATCATCATTCCTTCTGCTGAATATATCAGTGAACAGAATTGCGGGGGAGGAGGAGCCCTACCCAAGGGCGACTCTCTTCAGAATTGAAAACCTCTGCAGGTTTGGTTAATTCTTTTTCAGAGAGATCGTCCTTGGGGTACATATTATGCATAAACACAGACTCCCAAAGACCGGAGGCCAGGGAGGAGGGAATTCTGTCCAAGCACACACAAATATAGCGATCGTATCATGGAAAAAAATTGAACAGACGCCATAACACTCACCTGTCACTTGTCCCAGTTTTCGCTCCGCCAGAGGCATTATGGGAGGGGAACTGACAGGGAGGAATTGTGCTCAAAGACGACCTCACTAGCATAATGAGACATTGCACGAGTGCTTAATGTCAATGAATCCCCACCCACTAAGTGGCTACATGAGAGCACCGTGAGGGGAATGCAAAATACCACTTACTAACGATATAGTAACTCCGTAGAGAATCGAAGGGGTACAGGTTCTCTGAGTGAGCACACAGTAGCAGACATGTCAATAATGGAATTATTGTACAGTAGCGCCAAAACAAACCAATAAACCAAGACTCACTCGGTCAGGGTGGCAGGACACTGTCCACTGGAGAACAGTACTGCCAAAGCTCGCCGCGACACGGAATGCGTGATCGAGCTGATAATGGCGTATAAACGCGTGCTTGGCCGGCTCCAAATAGCGGGCGAGCAGATCTCTTCAATGGGGAGTGCCGATGCAAAAGCTTTTGAGGCTGCTACTGCCCTGACCGAAGTGAGCCTTCAACCCTCAGGGGAGGCTTGCCCTTAGCCTGATAAGCCGCACAAATACACGAGACTAGCCAGCGAGACAAAGTCTGCTTGCTCGGCTGGCAGACCAGCCTTCCCGCCACCCTAACAACAGAACAGCTGGGTACCCGCACGGATCCCCTGCGTTCGTTTGATATAGACTTTGAGCGTCTGCCTACGGACATCCAACGGCTGAGTGCTCAGAGGAGTGGTCCCCGATGTGGAAGGCTGGGTAAGAGTAGGAAGTTCGATAGGAACTGTCACATGGAAGCGGATCGACCTTCGGTCGGTAAGTATCTGGGAGGCTTAATACTGACACGATCCGGTGAAACACAGTCAGCCGGTCGGACGACATAGCATGTAAATCGCCGACCCTAACGACCAGATGTTACCGCCACCAGAAAACAGCTTCCAGGTCAACAACTGAATGGAAATAGCCGATAGGTGTGAGAAAATGGGACCAGACAGCCAATCGAGCACGATCGACAAATCCCAAGGTGGACTGGTTCGCCTGGAGAGCAGGTCGAATCCGTCCGCCAGCGAAAGCGCCAGTACGAGAGGGTGCTGCCCCAGAAGAGCACCATCGACAGGGTGTGAAAAGTGGAAATAGCGGTGGAGTAGCCAATGGTCGGCTAAGCCGCCAGGCCTTCTTCCAAACGAAGCTTGCAAAACTCCAATACGGACTAAATCCGCAGAAAAGGGATCTGCAATCCCCTATCTGAACACCAGCGGCGCGATAGCGGGACCACCTATCCTCGTACTCAACGCTTGTCGAATCCCGCCGAAGCCAGAATTGTGTCTGCAACTGCTGCAGGAATTCGCGTGCTCGAGGTTAGACCTGACAGAGGCCAAGCCACCCACTGAATCCGCGGATTTGGGTGGGGCTCCATTCTGAGTGAGAATGTCCGGTCGCAAAGGTAATAGAACAGGAGGCTGAGCCAGAAACCTGAGAATTACCGAAACCAGCTCTGTGACGCCAAAGCGGTGCCAGTAGCACAAGTAGCCGAGCTGGCTGGGTGGACAGCTGTGAAAGGACACGGGAATGAGTGGTAACGGCGGAACGCCAGAGCACTTTGCCCGTCCAATCCAGCAGGAAGGCGTGCCGGCAGCCAACGCCTCTGGGTCCGTATCCGAGCAGAACATCGGTGTCTGATGCCCCCCGACACACAAACAGATCCACCTCGACGACCCGCATAACTGGGAGATTACTGTGAATATCTGCCTGTCGAGCATCCACTCGCAAGGGCCAGGATCCGGCGAGAGAGCACATCTGCTCGCACGTTCTCCAGCCCCGGGAGATAAACAGGGAGTACCTGACAATCGTACTGGTCGCACCAGAGGAGAAAGTCCCACGCATCTCACGATAAAACAACGTATCGGCCGCCCGCCTCTTCTGGGCCCGGGAAAAGGCCAGACAAATAGGGCAGGACTCAGCGCCGCGGGCCCGTCTTCTCGAGACAGGCAACGCGATAGCTCATGCCTGTCGGCCCGTGGAATTTCTCTCTGTCCACAGACCGAACAGGATGAAAAGGCCTGAAAGCAAACACGCAAGCATGTAGCTAACAGCCAGCAGCATATAAACACGTAGAAAACATTGAAAAATACGTGAAGGTTACCACGGAAAGTAATAGTTGGTTTTAATACGCAATATTACGACCACATGGCACGCTAAACTTCCCGCCATGGCAGAGCAACACGCGCGCGTAAACCACGGAAAGTTCGCGCGTATTTTGTATTAATACAAAGTCACAATTATGAAACAACCAACTGTAAAGCTTTACTGTTCCTTGTTTTAGGCAAATAAAGACCATACATACAGGTGGTGTCTCAGACATAGCTTTCTTATTAGCTTTCAGCTGTCCGCTCATGAAGTCGCGTTCTATTAACACGCCTGTTCACGGCAGTGACAGCAGAAGGAATGATGATACGGGTCTAGGAGCCTACCCAGTTGGTGCGCATGCGCTAAGGGAGGTAACTCCGTGAGGTAGGGGCCGTATAATAAATAAAAGAGTTTATTTATTGTTCAATCTTTTTATTCAAAAAACATTGATACAACTGTCACAGGACATTTTTCAGCCGGAAAATGCATAATATGTACCCCAAGGACGATCTCTCGGAAAAAGAATTCATTATACAATTGAGTCTCAATTAAATAATGCAATTCATTGCTCAATATGAACAGACTGACCCCTAAAATGATTTAAATCCAATTTTCCGCCTATCATTGTCCATCATAGTCACTACAGTCTTAAACAACATCAATATTTCTAGGGCAATGCTAATTCAAGAACAAATTCAGAATCAATATCAACTTAATTTTAGCAAAACAGTATCAACACTTAAAATATATCAGTACATTGATATCGCAATATATAATGTCATTCCAACCGTAGCTGATGAGGTAACACTGACTTACTTCCTGGTGACTTGCTGAGGGGCGGCAAGGATGTTCGACATAGCTGTCCACTTAATAGTTCCTGGAAGTAATGCAGAATGTGTTATAGTCCGTTTGGCTCAAAAGCGGACTAATGAACTGCAATCTAACTCGAAAACTAATAAACATATAATACTCAATGAAACACTGATCATAATCAAAACATCAGACCAACTCTGTGATTTTTTGGCAGAATTTATGTTCGAGTTAGATTGCAATTCATGGGTCCGCTTTTTAGCCAAACGGACTATAGTGTAGGTCTTCTAAAGCTGTCTGTTTTCCATTTCAGAACCAAACCAAATCAAGATATATACACCACATATACAAAAGCCATCTGCAGACATGGATTCATAATATTTATTACACAGCATTTGGCCTACATAACGACTTTCATACTGTTACCTGAAATATTCAGTTTTATCAAGTTTAACAGTGTAACACTGAAGAATCTTGTCACAGTGACAGGCAAATATGCATTCAAATGTGTTTCATTTTTCTGTTGCCACTCTTCACAAAGAAAGTTCATATCTTAACTCTACAAAAATACTTACAATAGTGAACCTGTTGCCAACATTGTCCCTGAGATTCTGAATGAAGCTGTTGCCACCTGTTGCCACGTCACTGACAGAGGCATCAAGCTGACTCATGTCATCTGTCTCGGAGGGGACCGGTGAGATGTAGTTGAACTGAGAGGACAGAGGGTAGACTCTATTAACAATGTATGGTATGAGCGGAAATAGGGAGTGGGCTATACTGATCACACAACATCTGCCAACAAATACACTTACCAACACTTCACCATATCGTTACTGACCCTTTACATTGCATTGAACATACTGATAGTTCACCACACACTGATACCTCACCTCACACTTACTGACACTTCACCTCACATTTTCGACACTTCACCTCATACTTACTGACAGTTCACCTCACACTTACTGACACTTTACATCACACTTACTGACACTTCACCTCACACTAACTGACACTTCACCTCACACTTACTGACCCTTCACCTCACACTTACTGACACTTCACCTCAAAGTTACTGACACTTCATATCACACTTCCACTTTACCTCACACTTACTGACACTTTACCTCACACTTACTGACACTTTACCTCACACTTACTGACACTTACACTCTAAATTTCACACACTTACACTGACACTTCACCTCACACTTACTTACTGACACTTAACACTCACACTGACACTACCTTCTAATGACACTCACACTTACACTTTCACCTCACACTTACCACTTTTTACCTTTACACTGCCTACCATTTGCAAGTCACCCCATACTTACTGATATTTTACCTACTAATGTTACACTTGACACTCACACTTACTGACATTTTTACACTCACACTTACTGACACTTAACCTACACTTACTGACACTTAACCTCACACTTACTGACACTTTACCCTCACACTCACACTGACACTTACACCTCACACTTACTGACACTTAATCTGACACTTAACTTACACTTACACTTTACCTCACACACACTTCTAATGACACTTTACCTCACACTTACACTTTACTTACACCTATTTACTGACACTTAACCTCACTCACACTTACACTTTTACCTCACATTTACTGACACTTAACCTCACACTTTACTTACTGATATTTTACACTCACACTTACTGACACCTTTTCCACACCTCACACCTCACTGACACTTCACACACACTTACTGACACTTAATCTCACACTTACTGACACTTAACCTCACTTACTCACTACACTTACACCTCACACTCACTTACTGACTTACACTTCACACTACACACTGACACTTTACCTCACACTCTACTGACACTTTACCTCACACTACACACTGACACTTTACTCACACAACTCATATTTACTGACACTTAACCTCACACTTACACTTTTACCTCACACTTACTGACACTTTAACCTACACACACTTACACTTTACTGACCTCACACTTACTGACACTTTAACCTCACACTTACAATTTTACCTCACACTTACACTTCGACCACACACTTACACTTAACCTCACACTGACACTTACCCACCACACTTACTTCCATTTTACCCTCACACTTACTGACACTCACACCTCACACTTACACTTTTTACCTCACACTTACTGACACTTAACCTCAAACTTGACATTTTACCTCACACTTACTGACACTTAACCTCACACTTACACTTTTACCTTACACTTACTGACCTCACCTCACTTTACATTTTACCTACACTTACTGACACTTTACCTCACACTTACTGATATTTTACCCCAGACTTACTGACACTTCACCTCACACTTACATTTTACCTCACACTTACGACACTTAACCTCACACTTACATTTTACCTCACACTTACTGACACTTAACCTCACATTTACACTTTACCTCACACTGACCTCACACTTCCATTTTACCTTACACTTACTGACACTTTACCTCACACTTACTCATATTTTACCTGACACTTACTGACACTTCACCTCACACTTACATTTTACCTCACACTTACTGACACTTTTTAACCTCACACTTACATTTTACCTCACACTTACACTGACACTTAACCTCACACTTACTGACACTTAACCTCACATTTACACTTTACCTCACACTGACCTCACACTTCCATTTTACCTTACACTTACTGACACTTTACCTCACACTTACTGACACTTTACCTGACACTTACTGATATTTTACCTGACACTTACTGACACTTAACCTCACACTTACTGACACTTTTCCTCACACTTACTGATGCTTTAACACATAGTTACTAACACTTTACAAAGTGCTACTGACACTTTAGAAAGGCATACAGAATATTCACCACACACATACTAAATCAAGACACTTTTCTTTATTTCCACTGACACTATATGCTCAGTAACACTTTACCATTAACTGACATTTTATCATATTCTTTATTGACACTTTGCCATATACTTATTGACACTTCAGGATTTTTTGCAGGTTACAAGGACATCTGTTTTAACATAATGATTACGAAATTAGATACATACACATGCTCCTGTATACACTCGTCCTACCTCATCGACAAATCTTGCATCCATGGCACTTGGTGGTCGGCTTGAGGTGAAGATACCTCCCCGGGCAGGGCTCCCCAACGGGGTGACTGCTCTCTGCATGCTTGCAGACCATGACCCCACAGGTAACATTGGGATGTGCACATGACTGACCTTAAAGGAACACCAGGTGTAATCAAACACTGTCGTAAATCATTCATTCAAAATTTAGTCATCTAATGTAAGACTAAGACATAGCCTTGAAACGGAAATCAATTAGAAACTGAACATAATTCAAGTAAATTTCACTAAGGAAAGAGAAGGATGGAGGATGTAAAACCAACATTCATTACTTCATCTATTTACATTTTTATAAAGATAGCTCAGTCACATAATGAATTTTAAAGGTTTGCTTTGCCTGTAAATCTTTCAAGCTGAATAAACCTCACTGAACCTGCAAGTCCTCCAACCAGTCATATCTATATATCCCACTCAAGTCAGTCCTGTACCAACCTTGGTAGTATCTAAATATCCTACTCAAGTCAGTCCTGTACCAACCTTGGTAGTATCTATATATCCCACTCAAGTCAGTCCTGTACCCACCTTGGTAGTATCTATATATCCCACTCAAGTCAGTCCTGTACCAACCTTGGTAGTATCTATATATCCCACTCAAGTCAGTCCTGTACCCACCTTGGTAGTATCTATATATCCCACTCAAGTCAGTCCTGTACCATGTACCAACCTTGGTAGTATCTATATATCCCCTCAAGTCATCCTGTACCCACCTTTGTAGTATCTATATATCCCACTCAAGTCATCCTGTACCCACCTTTGTAGTGCCTGTATACACCACAATGATCCCTGAAGGCTCCAGCACCAACAGCAAATCCAGGCTCTGCAACACAATAGTAAACATTGTAACATAATGTCAATATGACCAAACACTACAACACAGTACAACAACACAAGCTTAAAAGATATTAACATATATTAAAAGATATTAATGAATATTGGCAAGATGAAATGTCCAAGACAGGTGTCAAGTGAACTTAACATGTAACTATATATTTCAATACAAGCGAAACACGCTAAAAGCAGGTGCCCTCTGTCGGGTGCCTCTCTAAGGGCTTTCACTCACCTCAATGGGTGTGACATCCTTGGCCTGCAGCACAGTGATAGAACCAAAAATTAGCTGACTCAGGTCGTTGCTCTCCTCAAACTTCACACACCTGCAAGCAAGGAGCATCTACACATGACTGTGTGAATAATGTTCCTCTTTGAATCACAGGCACTTTGTACAGCTGTTTGTTTGTTGTTTAACCCTCTCTCAGCATCATTACAGCTATATGATGGCATTTACTGCAAATTACCGAAGTCTGGATAACACAATTCAGTGATTGACATTATCAACACAATTGGGATAGATGATATGCATCTACCGAGTCACAGCACCCAATGCCCATCAGTAACTTCTTATGACAAGCATGAGTTGCTAATCATTAACTCTGACCCAGTTCCTGACAGGTTCTTTATTAAGTATACATACTAGAGACAGAATTTGACATATTGATTATTACCAAAACATCAGGTAAATCGTTTTCACATTATATATCAAATAAATGGCCACAGTAATTTTTGCTCCAATAAGAGAAAGATATGTTTCATACTCCAATGAACTTCCCATTTCGCATAAATATACACACAAAAAGATGTACAAATAGTTAACAAAAAGACAGATAAC